TTCCAATTAGTTTCGTACATTTGACAGCAGTCTACAAAGAATTAGGTTTTATTATTCTATACGGTATATTGTATGTGATCTTGTCGAAAGGATGTTAATTAAGACATTTGCTATCTTGTTTGCTGGAATTGTTCTATATTGGGATGACATGGATATCCAACATAAAATACGCACACTGCCTTATTAACTGCCTTATTAAAATTAACTACAGTATAAGTATGGTTTTTTCCGTACCAAGCGAACAACTTGAACAACTTGTTTTTAGCACAACATTTTATCGTGTTATTTTCAGTGATCTTGAAATGCTTTCGCGAATGTTATCGGTCCGGTACAGACCTATCTTGGGGAAAAAATGTAGTTTTAATAATTTATAGTATGTCTTAGTTATTTTGATCTAAGCAGGCTATCTTACAGGTCTCGAGTTATAGTATAGGCCTTTATACTGGTTACTTGACAAAGTACAGTCAACCAGGCTATCACAAAGTTTGTTTTGCAAGAGTTAATAAATCAAACGTAAACGATGCTACATAATTCAAATTGGATCTGAGACGGACAGAGAGTTAGAAATGAAGTTATCGTAATGTGTTGTTAATCGACAGATAATTCAAATTGGATCTGAGACGGACAGAGAGTTAGAGATGAAAGTGATCGATCTCTTAATGTGTTGTTAATCGACAGATAATTATATAATATTAGACCTTGCATTTAGCATAAAGATCGATAAGATTGTCTTGAGTGGGGTTTTTTTTTTTCAACTGAATAATCCTGATAGCAATTCCCATATGGTTCGGACGTACCGTAGCTGTGATTGTATAAAACGCCAATAATACAGTACTTTCTTGGATTAAAGCATAGTATTTGTAAGCGCTTTTTTGCAAAGCCGCCCCAAGACATTACAGGCGTTCCATATGAGCATGGGATTACTTACAAGCTACCAACCACTTTAGCTACCTACCTGGCCACTGAAACAACTTTTTTTTTGTTCTGTGATGATTCTACGAGAACGGCAACGACCCGATGTGTATGAGAGTTTTTATGTAGCTATGGGAAGTTTTGTCACAGGAACTCATTTGTAATAAATCAAAACACAAGCATCATAGGCATGTATTTCGATTCGTACTTTAAAAACATCAACATTAAAATAAGTCACAGTATCAAAAATTGATGTTACAGGCTATAAGAGAGGATTTGTATATGCAAAATAGAGAATTCCATTACAAAAAATGTAATAGCTGTTCTCCCGGTAGACCAGTCGTAACTCTTTTCCAGGACATTAGAACTTAAAACGCGTTTGCATGAACATACATAAAGTACACCGCGGGATATGTTAAAGCGACTGTCCCACGATATTCCCATTGATACTCTAGCAAGTACATTGATCCTTTTAAACATACAAACATCCTGAGCTATCACTGTTTCATTGGTTGTGGTACAGTGCGTAGTTTAAAAGACACGCCCGCTAACCAATAGAATTAATTTTGCGAAAGGCATGGATATTATAGAAACATGTTACTTTAATGTAAAGAGAGCGTTAGTGATGATGCCTGTGGGCAGGTCGTGTGCTTTGAGGCGGACAGGCCTAAGTTAACTGCTAATGAACGAAACCACTCACATTAGCATCAAATGAGCGGACAATGCAATGCAAAGAAAATAGGAATATCCATCAATATTAATGAGACTCTATGGGTAACTTGTTTTCGAGAATTAGACAATAATCAAACTATCGTTATGTATTTAATTGAAAACGTCAGTATATTAGATGTTGATAAGGAATATAAATAACAATGCCGTGTAGCTTTTAAAAACAATAACTAAATATGGTGCAGAAAACAAGTAATTAATCAAACTCAATAATGTCATTGTAATGTGTTTATGAATATAAAATATGATGCATATGGTAGCCTATAGGGTACTGTACTTAACACTGAAGAAGCAGCAGCGGCGCGCTGGAGCAGCGACAGCAGTTAAATCAGAAAGAAAGAATCAACTAAAATGTTACCAACATGCATAGTTTTTCTAATGATTGTATAATAGTCCAAGTACGAATTGGCCTACATTAAAACTTACATTTAAGGCCTTTGGAAATACAAGTTTAACAATCACATCAGCGTCATGAAGGGAACATACTCCCATGATGGGGAGGTGGGGGAGCCTGGGTTAGATGTTAATTCAATCAAACCATCTGACATGTGGTTTCCCCCACTAACGAACAATCCTGATGTAGACGTAATACGAAAGTTGGCTCAATTTTTATAGGTTATTAAACACACATGGTTGACTCCCATAAGCTAACACTTAATGTGACTTTAAATTTACCGTAACTACCAATTCATAGATGACATAATTATTGTGTGTTCAACCCTATATTTCTAGTAAATGTCAAATGTTGTTACCTCGATAGACGTTCTCGGTTTTGAGACGCCGTGCTTTATAGCCAGGCTATATGGAGGAAAAACAATTTTGAACGTTGTACGAATAACTATTCTAAGGCATAATTGAGGAATATTTAAAGAAATAATAAACTGGAGAAACAGGGTTGTTGTACTAGGGGTCAACAGTGTTTTGTTGTTGTTTTTTGTTGTTTTTTTTTTTTTCAAAAATTCTTAATATATTATCCATTCTTAATATATTATCCATTCCCGATTATATATTCAAATGCCCCTTCAAAGTCTTGGAACATATTTGTACAACAAATTCGGAACCTGACATTAACTAAATTTTAATTTGGGTGTGACAGATTTTTTTTGTTATTGTTACACAAATTCTATTCGGACTAGTTGAAAATGATTAGTACACCAGGCTTATTGTTAATACTATAACATCTAATTTAAACGTCGTATTTTCTTTCCAGTTTTTGTTAACATTTTTGAAATACTGTATTCCTTAAACGTCTTCATCTGTGTTGCATAACATCATTTATATTGTAATTCATTTCTATTTTTATTACAATATAATAATAATATACGCTTAACTTTATCTTTGTAATAAACTTTTGAAAAACTGATTCCCATTTCCATTCATGCATCTCTCTAAGATATATATACAAAACATTCTCAATAGGGCATATTCAAATTTCATTTATCAGTTTATCTTCATTTTTAAACAAAAATATTAGGCCTATACATACTAAAGAGGATTAACATAACTGGTGCTTTTAAAGCACATTTTAGAAATGGAGTTTTGCGTATAGCGGTAATTCAGCGATATTATGACGGGTCCTTATTTACTATAGCCTTGTAAATAGTCTGAGTTGTCCGCATATCTCATTCAAAAACCGAAATTATGCACTTATGATGTTTAAATACCAAAAAAAAAACGTAACTACAAATAAAGAGTCAACTTCACTGGTATATTTATTCTACAAATAAACGGTTTTTTTTCCGTATTGCCGTTACATTATAACAGAAAGAAAAACTAAGTATGATTTATGACACCGATTTGAAAAGCATCATTGTTGTCTCATACAATAAAATACTATTACTTTTTAATATGATATGGTAAATCAACATAGGCCAATGTTTAGTACGTTATGTATTTGATAAATGTGACGTGCTGTTCATATATCAAATATGTAGGCCTATGTAGACTCTAATCCGTTAAAAACTGCCTTTTTCTTTTTAAGTTTCCCATAAACAATGAAAAACATTCAAACGAAAATGAAATCGATAGCCTTCACGAAAGCACATCAATCTTCAAAATTATGACATAATAAATTGGCTAAGATTGATTGATGGCGCGCTATGTTCGCGACGGTCAACTTTGAACTGCCACGTGATATTGAATGAAACACGGTTTTTTGTGTACTGTACAATGTACTCTTAACATGCATCACATTATTTATCAATAAAGTTGTTTCATATGTAGCCCTACAGGTATCGCTTGGTCAAAATGTTTCAGTTATTACTTCCATATTTTTTTGCACTTCGGATCGAAGACAATTTAACAGTTTTTCTACGGTTGATCTCAATTAATGCATACCTATTTTATGTCTTTTGATTCGCTTTTTGTTTAATTGATTTAAATAATGGTAATCGAAAAAATGAAATGTTATTGCAAGCAGAAATAGGACTTTGGGTGGGGTAGGCACTCAGTAACATCGAATGAAGATCTCATCCATCCGCCTTCCTCTTGCCAATCTGGCATGCATCACTCGGAAGATGCAAAGTTGTGGGGCGTACTGGTGTCAGCCGATGGTCACGTCAGCAGAGAATACTGTCCTCTCCCCCAGATTTCTCTCTCCCAGATTTCTCTCTTCCACATATGATTCGGACCCCCTGTGAACTTGTTTGATCCCTGTTGAAAATCTCTGATGCCATCAGTAGTCTTAATTAACTGCTCAACATTCTTCATTTTAATTTTTTGTTTTTAAATGATTGCGTATACAGAGATCTCTTGCGACACAGATGTAGGCCTACCTTTATTATGTTATTGACTATTGTCTACACTCAGCTGAGCAAACGGGTACGGACACATGACACGACAGTACTGCGTTCCCGAATCAATGAACCCAATGGTAACGGTAACAGATGAATAAATCATTGAAAAGCGAAGTTCATCTTTATAATAATTGAGAACGAACCATCAAACATATCATCTTTACACCTGTGTTTGCCTAGTTCTGCACTAATCGACAGGGATAACAGTACTCAGTCCGTTCTGCGCTAATTAAAACATAAAATATGATACCGACTAAATACACATCTATCAAAGTTACTTAATCATTTTTTATTGAATGTGAAAGGACTGAAATGAAAATTTATTGATACATATTGTCAGTCACGACGTACCTACGAGTCATAACCGTTATATTAATCCCTGTCTATGCAAGCAGGCGGCAAAGTGATGATGAAGATAGTTGCCGAGTTCATGTTAATGATTTCAATACAACGAGGTGTCATTTTTCACCTTTGTAACTTCATCTTTCATTATATAAATGCTTTCCATGTAAACTCATTTCACATTGTCTTGTTTCTAATGATTATTTTCTCTTAATTTGATAGATGTTTGGGTATTGTCTTCGAAAAGATGACCGAGAGATGGGTCAAAAACCACAAGCAATCGGCGTCAATGGTATAGCTGCGACTATTATCACGGAACTTGGGAAACAACTCGATATTATTACTATTCTGCAGCTGTCGTGGGAAGATCGATTAAGGGTCAGTATTGCAAGTTTACAGTTTCATTTAATCTTCTTCATTTATGATCTTATGATCCTCTGACTTGCGCTTTATCGAACTCAACCTTCAAGAATTATATCATTTACAGCAGTCACTAATCATGTCATAAATTTTAAAGTATTGAATGTTTGTATGTGTGAAATAAAAGTCCATTTTAAAATATATAAAACCAGGCAGACATTCATTTTGGAATATTAATAGAACCATAGGTCTAATGTAAGTCTTATGGCGCATATGCAGCAACAACAAATTCGGCAATATGCTTTACATAAACCGGCACAATCCAGGGAAATCAGTAAAAGGCCAGAAAGACGGTAGAAACGCAAAAAACCAGAAACAGAACCACACGCTAATTTAAAGATTTCCTGGTATATCACTTCTCAGTAATATATATAGGCCTAGATGTTCAATTTCGTAAAATTCAATGTTTAAATCTCAGCACATACTCCTCCGGCGTCGGCATTCGACGCGATTTCATGAAACAGACCGAAACGCGACGAAGGGCGTCGCGTGATGAATAGTTAACGACGCGTCGTTGAAAACGATTCGTCACGCGCCGGTCCGCTCTCAGCAGACTGCTAACGCTAGCGCTCATACAGAGTGCACCCGATTTCGTCAGTCTACAGAAGGCCGACCGTCGACCGAAACTAACAAACGCAATTACGTAAAGGGAGCTCAACATTTTCGCAAAGCAATGAGACCCTGAAACAGCCGCATTTTATTGTATTGTGTCTGAAACGTGCTACTAATTATGAAACATGCTTAACAGCCAGGAATGAGAGATTAAAATATTTGATTTTACAAAGGACACAGGATATGAATGTGGAGTAGCCAAAATAATAAACACGTATTCATTGTAATTAACTTTATCTTGAGTATTAATTACTTTATGCGCGTGATTGCACATATATTTTATAGGCTTTCTTTTCTAGAATTGGATCATAAATATTTCTTTTACATTCTTGTTGATTCATTATCTTTGAGGGAATTAGACCTACTGAGGTACTACCGATATAGTTCGCACTATAACCCGATGTTATTTTATAATGTTTCGACAGCCAATAAATTAAAAGACGTATGCCGAGGCGCTAATAATTTTGCTCAAATTCTCACTGATATAAAAAATAACAAATATATTGGTTATCATCGCTTGGCATTCAGCAAATGATTCCTCAATAGCGCGCCAATTATCAGCTGATCCGAGACGAATGGTTATCAAAGCAGTGTAGGCCTTTCGTTTATAACTCGGTGCATTACAAAAACACGGCCTGCTTTCATCTATCTATATGAAATTAATTTAGATTTTCAGTTATTTTCCTTTTATTTGATGTTTTCAATCTCAATGATGAACTCATCTTCTACTTTTAATTATCACCCGGTTTAGTTATCATGTGGCCTTATGTGTTGGAAATAACCATGTCATAATGTGGGAAGGCAAAGTGCAAAAGGCCTTTGGGCACAATTAACTATGTAATATCGAGGAATACCTAGAACGATGCATTATCAACATTGTCATCTTAGCTTATAGAGAGATATGATAATAGGCGCTTCTGGAACCAATTTAAAAAAAAGAAATTCCATACAAAAGAATCAGACCTTCTCAGTTGACCTCTTGCTATATACACCAGAGCGAAAAATGATGCGCACGTATCATCAGGCCTGGGGTTAAAAATCGCGCGTACGTACGCACACGTACCTATACTATATTCTAGCTTGAGAATTTATAAGACAAAATAGATTGATATACCAGAAACAGGTAATATGCCAAATAGTGAGCTCTGAGTGCGTAATACTAGGCCTATATACAAATGAACGTTCTTGGAATTACGTAGTAAACCTCACGTTCTGGAAATGTCATCCTTTAACGATAGATATTAGAGATGTGTGCTTCTAATTCACGCTATCATATCGTCACTTTTACACAGTTGAAAATGAAACCGGAATATAACCATTATATAATTTGATTTATGCCAATGTTTTTTTGAATATTTGGAGCTGTGTGTTAGATAGATTTACATATCATACATAACACGATATTCATGAAGCGGTGCATATTCCAGACTTGATATATGTTAACAATATATTTTATATTGCAAATTCCACGTGCTTATGGAACGGTTGAAATGAACCCGATTATAATCATCATGAACTCTCTTTGGCGCGCCAGAATTCAACGCGCGGTATATCATAGACGCGCAAATAGATCATTTCTTAAACTTAACTGACCAATCAGGATATGTTACTTAAAGCCATAAATACGCGCATGTCCCACAAAGTCAAGTACTTTTATTCTGTTTATGTCCCACTCCTTATAAATATTGTCCATCCAATGGGCGGGGCTTAGCGAGACTGTAGATCATAGGCTACTGTATAATGCGCGACATGACGTCATTTTATAGCCTATTGAATGTGGTAAAATCTGAGGACAAACCCCATTTCCCTTCCCCCAAGTAAAAAGAAACTAAATCAAATCATCGAATGGGGCGTTTAAAATATCAGTTATGTTATATAAATTTCTAATGGCAGAGCCAAACAATATAGTTCTCTCTAAATAAGTATTTTATCATGGAAATACCTAAATTTATTTTACCGGTACCAACCAATCATGATCTATTTAAAAATATAGAAATCGATTTATTTATGTCTTTAGTTGTCAGGGAAAATTGTAAATTATTAACCAACTGAAATATACAAACTTAGCAATTAAATTATTTAATTTTGTTTATGTTTATTACCACAACAATGACAGTATCTTCATTAATCTAGGCCTACATGTACTTGTTTCTATTTTCTAGATATCCCTGGGCATTGCGAGTCTTCTTGTGTACATGTCCGAATCTCCTCTTGGGTCGCTTGGCATTCATGATTTCAAACTAGGCCAGTTCGTTTTGGTTGGTAATCAGGTATGTTATGATATTTAGGCTATGCTGAATGGGTTTACTATAAAATGTGTGGTGAACGCGTTTGCAGTGATAATGGCAGTAAACGCATCAAATCCGCATCACGACGCAACGGTCACTGAGAACTGTACGTTAATAATAATAATAATAATAATAATAATAATAATAATAATAATAATAATAATAATAATAATAATAATAATAATGATAATAATAATAAGAAGAAGAATAATATTAATGGTGATGATAATGAGGATGATGAGGATGATAATGATGATGAGGATGATGGTGATAGTTAATGTTATGGCGAGGGTGATAATGATGATGAACATGCTAATGAGATAACGATATTGATGAGGATGATGATGAATTAATGATGATGATGACGACGACGATGACGACGTTTATGATGATAATGATGATGATGATGGTGATGATGGTGATGATGACGGTGATTATAATGATGATGATGATGATAATGATGATGACGATTTTGATGATGATGACGATATTTAGGCCTACTTCAAAATTTAACCTGCAATAAACTTTATGTATTACATAAACATGGATTAGTGCATTTGTGCGAATGCGTATGAAACCATTACTTTTGTATAAAAATCAATCCAAAAACCTGAATTTGAGATTCTTCATGGTGTCGGTCATACATTCTTTATTCCAATGTATATATCGTATTATATAATACGCAGTTGATATTATCGATGGTATACATTAGAAATTTAATCTATTTATAAATGTATTAATTGAAATTTTATTTTCGTCACAGATAAAGTTATCTGATATGGATGATGTTGATAATAATGAACCAGTTTGTAACCAGGAGAAGCTTTGTAAAATATTGACAGAGGGCGCCAAATATTCCATTGCAACCAAATGTCAGGCGGACATTGGCAGATGCATCGGAATGAATGAAAAACTAAACTTATACAATTCCTACCGCTATTTCTTTTCGATTGCGTTGAGAATCGAAGCACCAAAAGCTTTGGAGTCAACCATTGAACATTTTTTAAATAAAACAGGTATGTCTCTTTACTACGAAATCACCAACTACTGTATTCTATGAATTACAGTACTCTGTTTTCGTAACACACTAATGCTCAATGATCCAATAACAGCTCGAAAAACACTCCTCTCTCTCGACACATTTCAATTGTAATCCCTTTGTAGCTTTAATACGAATTATACGATCATCTTCCTAATGATGAAATCTCTCTGTGTTATTTATAGCTAGAGTGTCCTGGGGCGTCAAGGAAGCGTACCGAGAACTTGAGCGAATCACGCGCCTGTACGTAAGTGGCGCGTATCTGAGGACTAGCAGACAATCTCCAACTGCAGGTGAGTTAAACATATCGGATAAGCTGCTCTGTCACGTTCACAAATCTATTGGATGAATTACTTTCAATGATGAACTTTTCATCTTGATTTCTGTTTCTGTAAATCTATCGCATAATTCGTTGTTTTCAAGAGAAATATACTATCGAATAGTGTATAGCACAGTTATAATCACCGAAGGACATGAAACCATGTCATAGACCTATAGTTCTATTTTGTAATTTGTTATGTTATCAGACTAGCATTAAGATTCGATGTTTGATTCTTGATAGAATACTTTTAGTATTAGGAGAAAATACGTTTTGTATCAGTGATTTTTTATATATTTTTTAACCCGAATTTTGTAAATTATTTTCTGCCAAAAGAGCGCTGATAAACAGGGCCTCAGAAAATGTTATGAATGAATGAAAAAAAATACATCGTCTCACACATAGGTCTAATGTACTTCATGTATGCAATTCGCTATTATTATACCTACTTATTCATCGGCGTTTTAAAGCCTTGTTTTGCTTATATGCGTTATTCGAAGAAAGTAATAATATAGCAGATCGTTGTGCCATACAGAATCGTATTGGGTATAAAACTTCAATAACACATTTATTTATTTATTTATGGATGTGTGTCTCGAGCTTTTTATGAGACAGTAACAATATTTTAATATCACGATTGTCTAAAAATGGAATTGCGTTGATGAAGCAATCGATATTATTTACATTAAATAACAAAGTCAAATGAAGGACGTTATTAAAGTCAGGCTTCGGAGGAAAACAATATGTTTTGTAAATGGTTGTTCTAAAACACGAAAAGCATATTTGACAGAAAACTTCGGTGCGGTGCACCCGTCAATGAGATACCTGTACAGATTTTGTAATATTTGAAAACTAGGGGGAAAGGTGGAATAACCTCAGTTCTGTCCCTCACTATAAAATTTTCTTCGACAAAAAAACTGTTGTATGCCCATATATAGTCATGATGTGCCTATATATAGTCATGATGTGATGACCATATTAGGCGTGTGTGACATGTTTTTGTCAAATTAAGATTGACAGTCTTGACAAGGCTGTAGACAAATCAGTTGTACAACATTGCAAAATATGTGCGAGTTAAACTGAAAGAAGGTGCGAGTAAAACGGAAACTTTCTAACGCATTGTCATTTTTTTTCCTTTATATCTGCAGTTTATAAGATCATTGCAAACGCTGATTATACCGGTCAGTTCGATTACTGGTGTCCTTACACTCTCCATGCCGGTAGTAACAGCTGTACCTTCACCGTCTTCGACGAGCATGAGGCTAAGTTGTATTGTGACAGTGACACGTATTGCAAAGCGTTCGTTCTCACAGAACAAACATCATGGACAGGTATGATATTACAATTTTATCATCATCATTATTAATCTGCATAACTGCTGATCAGTTTACGAGTTGAGGTTCAGTTTCTCCACTGATCTCTTTGTTGTGCTTTTCTTTTAATTTCTGCGTAGCGTCCGATGTTAAACATGTCCATGAAGATCCTTCTTCTTTTGCACTGTCCTCTTTCCTTCCATTATTTCAGTACTTGACCATACTTTCTGTCTTTCTTCAATCACATTTAATATTATACTTATTTTTGCAATGTACCCTTTTTGAAATAGTGATTTCTTATTGATATAATTGCGTTTAATTTAATGTAATAACACTAAAAGTTGTGACGAATGCGCCTCTTTTCTTGGCGTTTCAACTTCAAAACGTGAGCCCAGGATAGAGAAAACTCATGAGAGCGTGTGTCAGACTGTACTATTTTTACTCTAGATGTACATACAGATCAATATACCTACACAAATTTTATTTTAACGAAAGTACTCTTCTTCTGGTTATAAGAGGCCCCAGGCGCAATGCTGGCAGCAAATGTGTTGGCCTACGTGGCCGGCGCGAAATTCATAATACTCAATGTCTACTTTCTAACGTCCGCTTTTGAAGTTTGGGGTTCTTCAAGTGGTGATTGATTAATTTACGGGGATCAGAAAATATGCCTATGCGTATATTGAAAATTTTATTTTACTCTCATCCAAAGAGCAAAAATGCCTCTATAAATTAAGTCAAACTGGAAGCTAGTAAGTAGGCCTGATGAGTTGATTTTAATTACGAGCTGGGAATTCTGGTATAACTTTAACCCCAGGGCCGTCAAATTGTAAGAGCCAACAAGAATATTAAACACCATATGTTTATGTTGTAACAATGCCTTTCATGGTAAATTTAGAAGTCCCTTTTTCTTTAACTTGCAGGTCGTCATATAGCGTTCTTTAAAAATAGCACATCTGAACCAGTATATAATCCGAGCAGTACGTTATACATGCGTGTGGGTTGAACGGATTTACTTGTTGTTGTAACGCATTGTTGAAAGACAGGCGCTTTGGAAGTACTTGGAGATGGATGTCACATGAAGCAGCAACTACCAATAAATGCGTAGTTGACAGACAGACGTTTTAAGTCCATATACCAAAACATACGAATGTGTTGACCTTCGATTTGTAAACTCGTTAATTCTCCAAAATGTTGTTTGGAAAGACAGGCACATTAAAGTACACAGTGTGTTGAGGACTAAACTTGATGTTTCAGGTTCAACTTGAGCCAAACGGCAGACCTCTCCCAGACTGCTTAGGTATGCGCCTAAAAATATCGCCAATTAAGTCACAATTTAAAACGCTTGGTTTATCATAATTTACACTTTAACAACAAGAGACATCGATTTTTTTATTCGATTTCACGGCTATGACTTTATGAACCTCTTCAAATAAAGGCGAAATTGAGTTCGACATATTTAATGTTCAGAAGAACACCAATGAACGTGGACCTAATTGGTTGATTTTGCAACGCTGACAGAATGGAGGGATAAAAGTTTTTCAATAGATCTTCTTTAACAAATTTATTGAATCAAAGAATGTCACTAGTCAGTCTCTTAATTATGTGCTTGTCACGAGGTTGTTGTTGAAAACTCGACGTCTTTTGTATTTAATTCTTTAGCGTCTTTTACTTTCTTCTTGTCTCATTGATCGTTTTGAATTTTTATTGAAATTTTCGTCTACGGAGGTATTAGCCACATATTGCCTATACTGTAATCGATTTTCGTAATTGTTGATACCTAGTTAAACTTTGACTGGTTGAAAGTTTACTAAACGTATTATGGTAATGCTAAAATTTTCTCAAAACGTATTCCTATAACATATTTTCCTAACGAGCAAAAAATACGAAAGAAAAGAGAAGACTTTTTAATGTGAGACCAAATGCGAGAGTATTGTACTATAAGGGAGAGAAATGAGCGAGGAATTGCAAGCAGGATCAATAGAGAGTTGATGAAAACAGTGCGAGATATTTTACAAAATAACCAATTTTTAATTATTAACTTCCATAATATGGTAGGCATAAAGAGTACATTTTTAAAATGGAAACTATAATACAGTACATAATACCAAATATTTACTAATTTCCAGCATTTGGCCGATATGACAATTAAAGAAAATGAAATATTGTATTTTGAAATACCACGTCATATGCAATGTTTGACGATGTAAAACATTTAATTTTCGAATCAAAGAACAATTTTATCTTTCAAAAATTGAATAAAAGGTATTTTGCTATAAAAATCGAGTACCATGGCGTCACTGATTATGATGATGATGATGATTATGATGATGATGATGATGACAACGATGGTAATAATATTATATACGGTATATATATAAAAACGCATAGTGTCGCTATATGCATCATAACCATCACCATCATCATTAACACCACCATCAACTGACTCACATCTACAAGCCTTAATATCGGCGCTGCTCCTTTCCCAGATTCGGTTGGTTCCATGGTTGAACCTCTTCTTAGCTAACGATTTAAAATGGCTCGTGTGCACTTTAAAGAACCAATTGCATCTTTTGGAATAGTTGGGGGTTACCCCGGTGCTATAGTCATTCAGCCCTGCCGTTGTGGAATGATGGGAATATGTAGCTACTATAAGCCCCTTTTTATGGCAGCTACCACGAACCGCACGTCCATGGCGCAATACAACACAATGACGCTGCGAGTTATGAGTTATTCCTTTGCACTTTACCTCAGTTCATCACTTGTTTCAGTCATCGTCTCGTATGGTATACCTCGCCAGTATAATCTTTCCAAAATGGAAACTTTTCTCTTAAAATCATTGTACTTTCTTCATGGCAGCAGCAATTTAAATAATATAATTTATGAGGATGGTGATGATGGTGACGACATAGATGATGATGACGATAATAGTAATAACAATAGTAATAACTTTAGAACTGTTTACTCGATAATAAACCAAGCTTAATTTGACGTAAACTTACTGAGAGCTTTTTTAAACAGTTCTCCAATCATTATAAACAAGCCAAATGAATCTATTTGAATATCCATAAGAATAATAAATTACCTACAAGTACATACAGTAACCTTGGAAATAATTATGGTAAACTTATCTATCTTAAGCGTATTAAATTATATCTCGTTGGTATAGAATAGTAAAAAGCTATACAGCTAATGCGTATATGTGGGACATGCGCGTATACATGATTATTAAATAACACGTTTTTATTGGTTAGTTTAAATTTGATTAACACTTAAATGTAACAGTAATATATGTGTAGGTTTCTGGATTTAAAATGGGTGTGGCCGGTCGCGCAACAATACCATAATCAATCAGCGCCCATGGGAGGATCGTTGTTTAGCCAGGGATTCCAAGTTGACAGAAGTTTCTTCCGGAAGATCTGGTTAAATGAATTCAATAGCAATTTATTATTTTATTTAATTAATTTATTTATTTATATATATAGTTGTTTTTTTTTTGTGCATGATGATTACCCATTGGCACTGAAGTAGTAATGGAAATATCCATAATTTGTGGCCGGTCGCGTAACAATACCATAATCAATCAGCGCCCATGGGAGGATCGTTGTTTAGCCAGGGATTCCAAGTTGATAGAAGTTTCTTCCGGAAGATCTGGTTAAATGAATTCAATAGCAATTTATTTTATTTAATTAAGTTATTTATTTATATATATAGTTTTTTTTTTTTGTGCATGATGATTACCCATCGGCACTGAAGTAGTAATGGAAACATCCATAATTTGTGGGAGCTAGCCGGGTTAATTTCTGGGAAATTCTCGTTTGCTTTGCGGGAGTGCGGGAGGCCGTCACGATTTCCAGGAGACTTCTGGCAGACTTGGGACCCCTGTTTAGCTTTTATTGTGTCTCACTTTTCAAACAGTGGCAGCTATACATACAGTGGTGATTCCAAGCATACAACTGTAAATATTTAGACAAAATAACAAAAAGTGAAATACTTAATGATGAATAAACGATTATCATAAGACTAATAATATAGTAATTATTTTCAAGTATCTAAAGAATTAGTATAAATGGCTTACGATTGATTTTTAAAAAAAAAGGGAAAAATATTCCTTCCCGTGCCGGGAATCGAACCCGGGCCGCGTGGGTGAAAACCACGAATCCTAACCACTAGACCACACGGGACTGCCACAATGACAACACTTCGTTAATATTCCTAATACGAAACCATGAAACCTTATTACTGTACTACGTAATTGCACCGGGCGTTCTAACAATCTACCAGTACTACATTAATGTTGTTGTAATTGAAGATACAGGTATTGAGGTATACTTATTTAAAAGAGCACAAAGGCTAAAATTGGTATGAATTAATGAATAAATTGACGACAGGTATGTAACATCAAAAATTTAAGGTAAACATTTAAAATCATGAAGTAATAAGCATACGATGAGCGAGCAAACAGAAGCATTAAAATTGATGAAGTTAACAGCTACAAAAGGAGAAAATGAAGGGGTGGAGAACACAGAGGAAAGAGACAAATGCGAGTTTTTATTAATTTATTTTGGTTAGAAAAAGAAAATCGGCCAGAAATCATGGGATAGAACTTGTTTGTCATTGCCGTTGTTTTATGCGGCCTTATAGAGCGCTAACTTCTCTTAAAATTGAGTGAATTCACAAATTATTCTGAAATCAAAATGTAGCCTTCGTTAAAAATATTAGCATGTTCAGATATAAGAATGTGTCAACTCCAGAAGCCTATAATAGCCATTGACAATCAAATGAAAAGTCTTCAGTTCATCAAGTCAACATATAGGAGGTCCTTAATGTTGGCTCGCCTGATTCTGAAGTGACTATATAACGCTGATGATAAAAACATGAACATGACACTGGTAAATTTTCGAGGTGACGTCTCTAACTCAACCCATGCTAATATAGTAATATATATATATATATATATATATATATATATATATATATATATATATATATATAATTTTTTCTTTATTAGACTTTTTCCACACACAAGATAACTTTCGCATAAATAATATTTTGTAATTATATAATGTTATAACAATAAGAAAAAAAAACAACAAGTGTCCGCAAGTGAGGGGGCCGTGTCTGACTTGCAAGTTTGGGGGCTATTATTAGTTGATAAAAGTAAAAATAAAAAGGTAAATAACAAAAAAAAAATTAACAAAAAAAAAATTAACAAAACTGAAGATTAATGTACACAAAATATGCATTATAAATATATACCGCACCCTTCCCGTGCCGGGAATCGAACACGGGCCGGTCATGTTTATAATTAGTTTATGTAGGACCACATTGGGAATCAGTCGTTTTGATTTATTGCCGTTTTGACTTACTGACGTTTTGGTCCACTGTCGTTCTGGGTGGGGAGAAAAAACCCACAACTCTTCGGGGAGATAAAATGTATATTTTCTATATATTAGTACACTCCAAAATGGATTAAATAAGCCATTGAAATTCGTAAATTGCCATGACAATTTCGAAAGATTTTGAGGACGCCCGACCACGCCCATTTTTTTCGTCGGGAACATCCTTCCCCCACCCCCACACCACCACCCTCGTCGTGAAAATCCTGACGCCACCACTGACTGGCCTACACACGAGGGCAAAATCTTTGTATGTTGGTAATATATTGAATAACCAACTTTCTCAAAAAGGGGTTGCGAAAGATGAAATCTTCACTCGAACAATATTTGATTACTACTTTATTTAAGAATTCGTGAACAACAAATGTAGTAGTCTTCCCCGTAGGTGAAAACCACGAAACCACGAATCCTGACCACTAGACCACACGGGATTGCCATCATGCCATGGATTCTCATTGGACAATGAGGGCAGTGTAATTGTTTTCTTCATCGTCCGTCCGTCCATAGAGAAAATATTTTCTCTATGGTCCGTCCAAGTACTAAAAGAAAAACATGTACTGTATGTAGAAGTAGGCCTACTGTTAAAGCACCTAATGATGCAGTTTAGTGGAATCACTTAGTGTTATCCAACCAGGATCTAGGTGAAGTATAGTTTTTGGTTTTAATTTATATTCTTATAAATTACGAAGTAGACAGCTAATGATGGCTGTGAGCTATTGTTAATACTTCAGAAAGGCAGGAGAGAGTTCTTATTCATTAACTTCATAATTGCCTTTTTTCTTATAAGCATACATGCACTGCCTTTTTATCTTAATATAAATGAACTACACAAGGTTCAACAAAGTCCCCGTTGCATCCACGAAGTCCCGTGTGGTCTAGTGGTTAGGATTCGTGGTTTTCACCCACGCGGCCCGGGTTCAATTCCCGGCACGGGAAGGGCAGTTTTTTTCAATGCATATTTTGTGTAAATTACTTATTCGGTACTCAATTTTTAGCTTTGTTAATTTTCTTTTTCTTATTTACCTTTTTATTTTTACTTTTATCCCCTAGATAATAATAGCCCTAGACTTGCAAGTCAGACACGGCGCCCTCACTTGCGGACATGGGCTTTGAAAACCATTCAACTCAAGTGGTCAGTAGGCCTAGTTTAGTAGTAATAATTTCAATAATAAATAATGACATTTATTTGGAATGCGGTTTATATAGGCCTATATTACTATATTAGCAGGGGTTAATTTAGAGGACTCCACCTCTAAAAATTTTACCAAACATGTTCATGTTTTTATTTTAATTGTTATGGTCACATCAGGCGGGCCAAAATTAAAACTTAGGTAAATTTTAGCATGGAGAATAACCTAAGTTCTAAACTTATTTCTCAATAAGATAGTATAATACATAAGTATCGAAATGCACGCCATCGGGTCGAGATTTAATATTTCGACATTATTAACTATGTCATCATCAATGAAAAATTATCCATATTTGCAGGCTTATATGCACAAGTACCAAAAGTGATTGACCAATCAAAACATTACCCCTAGTAGGTGACATAGTTATGAATAAACTAAAGATCAAAGCATTCTTACCCTACTGATCAAAGCTACCTACAAAAACTAAGAAAGCTCTTTTCAGCCCATTTTGGCAATGGGTGTAGCCTACGTATAGCAAACGCTTCTTTAAACAATAGGATAGACCAATTTTGCCAACTGTCAATAATATTAGTATTAGAAAATATTAAACCTAATTTATTACTTACATTACAGGCTACATTATCATTTTCAAGTATACCTTGTAAACCTAAAACACTTTGGAATGCCTCACAATTTTGTATATGATCATTTATAACACTATCACATCGTGAAGAATGTTCTTTAAGTCTAGTTATTAAGCATCTATCTGTCTTACCAATATAATCACTATTACAACCTGGACATTTAAAATTGTTTTAGTACTATAATAAAAAATATTATCAACCACATTCAAATCAGGAGGGACCATCTCCCCTCAAGTTTCGATCTGATGAACTCAGGACTAAGTTCATTCGGTTTCAAAAGTGTTTTAAATGTCTAAAATGGTTAATATGGGTTTTCAGAGTTGACAAATTCTGATCTCTCAACATGCTGAGAGCAGGGGGTACATTTTTATTTCATAATAATTTGTAAAGTGTTCAGTCAATTTTAAGAGAAGTTGTTATAACGCTATCAGATCAAAACGATAATAAGCAAAACGGCCATGACAAACAAGACCTATCCTTTTTTTCTGAGTGTTCCCCACCACTAAATTTTACTCTTGTTTGTACAGTACTTGTACCATAGGCGTAGATCCCGGGGGATGGGGATATATCCCCCAATATTTGAGAAGGGGAGGGGGATGGTCCATTGTATCATCGCCCCAAATATTTTGACTATGTATGGGATAAAATGGAGCTTTACACACTTCAAAAGACTGTCACAGAAATAACTTTCATTGTCTTATGCGCTTACAAAGATGAAAATTAGCATAATGTATTAAATGTTGATAACAAAATGATTTTATCTGGTACTAAGCTAAGCTCTTCTTTCCTTAGATGTTAGATGTGCTTGCAAAGAGAGCCACATTTCACACTGAAGGGTGTGTACGCCATCAGTAATGTTATGTCAGTTCCAAGTATGTTTAAGGTTATATCGGTTGATGAGGAATTTATTGATTAGGCCTATAATAGCAAATTGCATCAATTTATTTTGCAAAAACAAGGTTTCCAGCTTCAGAGTGGGGCACATCCCCTGTCCGCACAGGGGCACACATTGGTGCTAACACCAGGCGCGTAACAGGGGTCTTTGGTCAGAGTGGGTATTTATTTTCCCGGTTAGTAATTTACCCACTCCCCATATAGAAAACAATACGACATGGGGCTTATCTTATTTATAATATAGGCCACACACGTGTGTTTAAAACTAAATATAAGCATTTTCATCATGGTTTTATTTATTACAAACATATTCTTTCACCATCAATACACATTGAGGCCCTTCTTTTTGGTTAAAACGATCTACCTCAAATTTGTCTTTCTTGAGTTTGGGACTAGGCCTATTATGTGTTTAAATAACTTAAAAGGATAAACCTAAAAAAGCTCTAAAAAATGCAAAATATTTTTGTGTTTTTAATTCTAATTTCGTCGGAATTGATGAAAACTCCCTAAAATGTGCAATTTATAGAGGAAATTGGCCTAGCGTAACAAGAAATGCGCGCAAAGAATTTGAGAATTTTAGGCACTTTCAGAGGATGTATTTGTCAAGGGGTGGGGAAAGATTTTCCAAAGATGGATATTTTCCCCTTGTCCCCCGGTGTTTTTAATTCTAATTTCGTTGGAATTGATCAAAACTCCCTAAAATGTGCAATTTTTAGAGGAAATTGGCCCATGCCAACAAGAAATTTGAGGTTTTTAGGCACTTTCAGGGGATGAAAATGGGCATTTATAAAGGGGTGGGGAAGATTTTCGAAAGATAGATATTTTCCCCTTGTCCCCCAGTGGTTACGCCATCGGTCAGCATAGATCAAAGCAGTTATGACAGTTTTTGAAGTGGAGAAGGGGTTGCAGGGTGTTGTGAGTCTGGTCATTATGATATCTTCCTTTTTATTCTTGTCTTTATTTTTCTCTTCAACTTTTTCTTTCCTTTTCTTTTCCTCTTCTTTCTCTTTCCCTCCCTCTCCCCTCTTTCTTTTCTCTTACCCAGTCCGGTATGACGGCTTGGTCAGCCCGGTAAAAACCGTCAGGGGAGGGGTAGTTTTCCCCCTCCCCCCGCGCCTGTTAAGACACTGGCTAACACGTCATCATCCCCCCCCCCCATGAAAAATACTTTCTACGCCACTGACTGGTTTTATTCGTATTAGCAATCTTAATGAATCCGCTTTAGTGTGGAAATCCCGTGTGGTCTAGCGGTTAGGATTCGTGGTTTTCACCCACGCGGCCCGGGTTCGACTCCCGGCACGGGAAGCCCATCTTTTATTTTTTTATTTTTTATTTATCAATCGTAATCCATTATTCGTTGTGGCTACTTAAAAGATAATTACTATATTATTAATATTATGATTATCGTTTATTCATCATTATTGACGGTTATTGCCGCTTGTTATGGGATCCAAAACTGTCCCAAGAGGCTCTCTTTACTAATTGCTGCATAATCCCGTGGGTACTGTCTAGTGGTCAGGATTCGTGGTTTTCACCCACGTGGCCCGGGTTCGATTCCCGGCACGGGAATTGCGGTTTATTTAATGCATATTTTGTGTAAATTACTTATTCGGTACTCAATTTTCAGTTTCGTTAATTTTCTTTATTTTTTTATTTACCTTTTTATTTCTACTTTTATCCCCTAGAGAATAATAGCCCTAGACTTGCAAGTCAGACACGGCGCCCTCACTTGCGGACATGGGTGTTGAAAACCATTCATCTCAAGTGTCAGTAGGCCTAGTTTAGTAGTAAGTATAACTTCAATAATAATGACGTTTATTTGGAATGCGGTTTATATAGGCCTATATTACTATATTAGCAGGGGTTAATTTAGAGGACTCCACCTCTAAAAATTTTACCAACCATGTTCATGTTTTTATCTCAATTGTTATATAGTCACATCAGACCTCCAAAATTAAAACTTAGGTAAATTTTAGCATGGAGAATAAGTTCTAAACTTATTTCTCAATAAGATAGTATAATACATACTCCAAGTATCGAAATGCACGCATCGTGTCGCGAATTAATATTTCGACATTATTAATTACATCATCATCAGGGTGAAAAATTATCCATATTTGCAAGCTTATATGCACAAGTAGCAAAAGTGATTGACCAATCAAAACATTACCGCTAGTAGGTGACATAGTTATGAATAAACTAAAGATCAAAGCATTCTTACCATACTGATCAAAGCTACCTACAAAAACAATGGTCATTATGGGTTTTCAGAGTTGAAAATTCTTATCTCTCAACATGGACCTATAAGGACCTTATTAATAGGTCCATGCTCTCAACATGCTGAGAGCAGGGGGTACATTTTTATTTCATAATAATTTGTAAAGTGTTCAGTCAATTTTAAGAGAAGTTGTTATAACGCTATCAGATCAAAACGATAATAAGCAAAACGGCCATGACAAACAAGACCTATCCTTTTTTTCTGAGTGTTCCCCACCACTAAAGTTTACTCTTGTTTGTACAGTACTTGTACTGGTTTTATTCGTATTAAAAATCTAATGAATCGTCTCCAGTATGGAAATCCCGTGTGGTCTAGCGGTTAGGATTCGTGGTTTTCACCCACGCGGCCCGGGTTCGACTCCCGGCACGGGAAGACCTTCTTTTATTTCTTCTTTTTTATTTATCAATCGTAATCCATTATTCGTCGTGGCTACGTAAAAGATAATTACTATATTATTAATATTATGATTATCGTTTATTCATCATTATTGACGGTTATTGCCACTTGTTATGGGATCCAAAACCGTCCCAAGAGGCTCTCTTTACTAATTGCTGCATAATCCCGTGGGTACTGTCTAGTGGTCAGGATTCGTGGTTTTCACCCACGTGGCCCGGGTTCGATTCCCGGCACGGGAATTGCGGTTTATTTAATGCATATTTTGTGTAAATTACTTATTCGGTACTCAATTTTCAGTTTCGTTAATTTTCTTTATTTTTTTATTTACCTTTTTATTTCTACTTTTATCCCCTAGAGAATAATAGCCCTAGACTTGCAAGTCAGACACGGCGCCCTCACTTGCGGACATGGGCTTTGAAAACCATTCAACTCAAGTGGTCAGTAGGCCTAGTTTAGTAGTAATAATTTCAATAATAAATAATGACATTTATTTGGAATGCGGTTTATATAGGCCTATATTACTATATTAGCAGGGGTTAATTTAGAGGACTCCACCTCTAAAAATTTTACCAACCATGTTCATGGTTTTATCTCAATTGTTATATCTGTCTCTTATACACATCTAGATGTGTATAAGATATATTAGCAGGGGTTAATTTAGAGGACTCCACCTCTAAAAATTTTACCAAACATGTTCATGTTTTTATTTTAATTGTTATGGTCACATCAGGCGGGCCAAAATTAAAACTTAGGTAAATTTTAGCATGGAGAATAACCTAAGTTCTAAACTTATTTCTCAATAAGATAGTATAATACATACTCCAAGTATCGAAATGCACGCATCGTGTCGCGATTCAATATTTCGACATTATTAATTACGTCATCATCAGGGTGAAAAATTATCCATATTTGCAAGCTTATATGCACAAGTACCAAAAGTGATTGACCAATCAAAACATTACCCCTAGTAAGTGACATAGTTATGAATAAACTAAAGATCAAAGCATTCTTACCATACTGATCAAAGCTACCTACAAAAACAATGGTCATTATTGGCTTTCAGAGTTGACAAATTCTGATCTCTCAACATGCTGAGAGCAGGGGGTACATTTTTATTTCATAATAATGTGTAAAGTGTTCAGTCAATTTTAAGAGAAGTTGTTATAACGCTATCAGATCAAAACTATAATAAGCAAAACGGCCATGACAAACAAGACCTATCCTATTTTTCTGAGTGTTCCCCACCACTAAAGTTTACTCTTGTACTTGTACTGGTGGAAATCCCGTGTGGTCTAGCGGTTAGGATTCGTGGTTTTCACCCACGCGGCCCGGGTTCGACTCCCGGCACGGGAAGACCTTCTTTTATTTCTTCTTTTTTATTTATCAATCGTAATCCGTTATTCGTTGTGGATACGTAAAAGATAATTACTACCGTATATTATTAATTATATTATGATTATTGTTTATTCATCATTATTGACGGTTATTGCCACTTGTTATGGGATCCAAAACTGTCCCAAGAGGCTCTCTTTACTAATTGCTGCATAATCCCGTGTGGTCTAGTGGTCAGGATTCGTGGTTTTCACCCACGCGGCCCGGGTTCGATTCCCGGCACGGGAAAGTTGTGCGTTTCACTCTGTACTGATAAAGCAACATTTTTACCTCAAATATTATTATTATTATGAGGTACCATTAGGCCTACTAAATATTTGCATTAGCCAACTTGTTTCTCCCTTTCGAACTGTGCCATTTCTTTTTTTATATATATTTTGATTTATTATTGTTTTAAAGTTTAATCGGTTATAGGCAAGTACCGAATGTAAACATTGATTGTTTATGCTTTCCTTCATTGATTAACCTTTCTACCTTTGGTTTTAAGTGCAGTATTTCATGTTTAGATTGGTCTAATTATTTACAGCGGTACGCTTTGAAGCACCATTGTATAGATGCCACTGTTGAATTGAGAAAATTGAGATCCAGTAGGAGCTGAACCACGATACTCCCATGAGCTCTAATGATGATATTGTTGCGCGACCGGCCACACCCATTTTAAATCCAGAACCTACACATATTACTGTTACATTTAATAATTTAATATCTCGAAGTATTAATTAAACTTAAATATGACCAATCAAAACATGTTATTTAATAATCGTGTATACGCGCATGTCCCACAAATATGCAGGCTTACCTACATTTACACGCTGTTTTATGTCCAACTCAGCAACGTAGCAACGAAGCAGGGCTGTAAGCGGAAATCTCCATTGATGAAATAGAAGCGTGATCTGTTTTTATTAGCTGTATTTCTGGAAATATTTTATGGTATTCTTTAAATCTTACTATTCAAGATAACACAGTACCGTATAGTTTGACTTAATTTATTTCTTGGTAACAACCTTGTAAATTACAAACTTTCATGAAAATAAAAAAACTCTTAGAAAAATAGCTTATAACTACCGGCACTACTCTTATGAGATATAAGTTAATACGTTTAATAAAGATAATAAGTTTCTTTAATTATTTCCAAGGTCACTTTATGCACTAGTAGGCATAATGCCTCCCTGTCATTTAAATTGCTCTAAATTGTTCTTATATATAATTATATCTTCACCTAGTCGTTGTATATGTGCTGATTTTCATTATATTTTCGTGTACTTTCTAATATATACCACAGCGCATTGAAACGATATACTGTACAGTTAATCCTAAGATGTACAATAATCAGAACATTAGGACCAGGCTAGGCTTATCATAACTTAAGTTTTTTAACTTATCTTTGCTCATTACTTTAATGAATCATTAGGCCTCACAATGTATTTGTTTAATTAATAATAACTATAATATAACATAAACTAAAAATAATAATAATAGATAGGCCTAATAATACATTAGAGAAGAATTGTACCGTATATCCAAATACCAGTGTAAAATACTGAACTGCATATACCCGCATTCTAATCTATTAAGCTATGCTTATCTTGATGACGGTATTTTAGTTTAGATTAACTTAAGTAACTCGATGTGGTATGTTTCTTACTGTTTGTAAATTGTACGTAAGTCTGTATTTGTATTTATTTACTTTAAGTAGTTTAATCTAAGTTTCATTGTTATGATAAGAAGGGGCTTTCAAATTTTGTGCTTGTGCTTTTATATTTTTTTTAATGTAACTTCTTTTGTAAATTTGTTGGTCTTGAACGCACCGTCAATTGACGAGTGCCACTGTAACAAAAGTGTAAGTTCAATAAATTATTATTAACGTATTAGTGAACGCACCTTACAATGTGTGCTGATCAGATGAAAAAGAATGTGTTCAACAAAAAAGTTATTTAGATTTCACACTATCAGAACGTGGCCTATACCGACACAAATGGGCAATCGGAACTGGAAGAAGCTTGGGTGGTGTCAGACCACAGTGCGCACTGTCAGTGGCAGATTCAAGTTCGGACCTTCCTAAATTCTTAAAAATTATTAGAAAAAATGGACTCTCTATCTGTGAAAATCCCCTCCTGGGCACCGTCTATTCCAAATTCCCGGTTCCGCCACTCGGATTGCCACAAGTTGACATTTAATAATAATGTTAACGTATATGCCTAGCTTTCCTGTAAATATATATTGACAGTATCAATCCATCTCGACAATTTCGTTCTGTAATTCCTCCATGGTATGACCATCTTCTAATTTTATCTTTAAACAAATCTTCATAGAACCATGTAATAAAACAGGTGCAATATTACGTTAATGTATCACTGAATATTGTTAAATAAATACGGTACATCTATTATTGATGCTCACTGGAGGCCTATACAAACAAGCCCAAGTAATGTTTTATTAAGAACGAATTAAACATATCCCGTTCTTATGACGCAAACCCTTATTTGTTTCAATACTACCCAAACCAACAGCAAAATGAGATTTGCCACTCACAAAGAGCGTGCGCAAGGGGTAACTCTCGGAATCGGCATCAGTCCAGTAGTCGGGTTACTTATTTCTCTGTATCGGTGAGAAACGTTTCCCCATTTCCCCCTTCTTTGAGGTCTCACCACCTGGATGTGAAATAACACACATTTGGTATTATTACCTTATCCTATATACACTATTTAACACTAACAGAGGTTCATCAATATGTCCATATTCATGTTTCAGTGCAAAAGCACATTTTCATAGCTTGCTGTTGCTATGAATTCGTTTCAATTCAATGCTAACCCCCCCCCCCCCTCTCTCTCTCTCTCTTCGCGCTAGTTTTCCTTGCGATCATCTGCGCACATAACTGCGCATTATCTTGTTGTCTTCGTGACCAGTATAGCTTTTGAATACCCAAGCCTAAACTCTATCTCAAGAAACAACATACCGTATTTAACCTACACGACGCACAATGTCTGACAACTTAGTTCGTTGTTTTAAACTGCACTAGAAATTTAACCGAATGTTGTCTTAAAATTAGCTTCTTATAGAATTCGCTTATTTTAGAGAACAATTAAGTAACACTTACTTTACCTATAATTGACAGTTAAATGCAAATTTAAATATAAATCGAGTTTAAATGTTTCTATTTCAGGATTAGCTTTCGTTTTTGCTTTTGCTAAAATCGAATTGAAATTGCATCTATTTTCTTATCTAAGTGTGTGTTTCAAGAGTGGACTCGCTGCTTAATTCCTTTCCTAGAGACGTTAGTCTACTAAACACATCTTCCCAGGTCGTTCAGTCGGCTGATGACGCGCATAAAACGCGTTTTCCTTACTCCTCAAGGAGGAAATTCAAACGCGCGTGGTGTTGCTTCAGATCTTCATAAATCTTCGTCACATTGGCGACGTTCGAGATCAGGTTCTTGTCCGCTGACGTTTTGTACCCATAGGCACCAGATTTGTCCATGCTCGGTAACAATTCTACCATCTCACGCGCGAGCACATTATGTAGCAGTTTGAAAGCGATGTGAACACACTCTCCAGTTCGCGCAGCAGCTCCTGTAACGATCCATGGACGCTTCGAGGAGATAATGTTGACATCTAACTTGCACATAATTTCTGTGGCAGACATAGCATCTGAAAATAAGAAAGGAATGATTAGAGTTAGCAAACAATGTACATCAAAAACTAGTGTCGTTCCATTACGCATGTGTAAATGAGTGAAACTTAATGTTATATATATATATATATAATATGGTGTATATATAGGGTATATATATGTATATATATATACTATTAGCTTCATTTAACTTAAAACTCTGTACCTACCAATCGTGTTTCTTTGTTCTGTGAACGTGATGTTTTCCACCAAAGTGAAAGTTAACATACCGTGCATAATTAATTGATCATTATAGAAACCAAAACTTGTGGTAAATTGCAGTTCTGTCATGATATTTACAGGCTTGTAACAAGGTATCCTTAAGAGGGAATTTTCTATGAGAGTCAGAGGTAAAGGTGGTGTACTTGAAAAATCATATTAAAAAGAATAAATTTAAATACTATTAATCAAAACGATTTGTCCCTTTGTACTTTGTTTTAATTTTTTAACCATTAGTATCCAGGGAGGGGCTATCCCTGTTTAATCTAGATTTTATTATTTTGAATTATATTATAGATCATAAAAAGATAGATGTAGTGCAATATGTAAACTATTAATAAAAATGAATTGTCCCTTTGTTTCGATCTGTTTGACCGTATCGCTCTCAGTTGTGTATCACTTAAAATAAATATGTTAATTGTGAAAATGATGGGTTGTTCCATATTAGAATACTTAACATGGCGTTAAAGAAGTCTATTACTGCTCTCTCGAAGCCATAAAACTTTAATTTATTTGATTTTTTAAATCTGGTTTGGTTTTATTTGAGTTGATTTTCAATTTTATGTGATTTGATTAGATTGGATTTGATTTGATTCTTTATTTGATTTGTTTTCAATTATTCCGGGCCCACCAAAATTATATGACGTGGATAAGTGGACACAACTTTAACATAAGCAATGACACTACTATTACTAACCTGCTCCATCCAGTCCAAGCATTATAATTCTCCAAAAGCGTGGCTTAGAATTTCTGGCCAGCAACCAACCTTCGATTTTCTTTGACATAGGGCAACCCATGACTTCTTCTAATTGTGTCCTATATAGTTTCCAATGCAAGATTTGATTCAAAAGTTAGGAAAATTACATCCATTAACCAAGTGAGGTAGCGTTTCAAATGATCTATCTTGGTACAGTGTTATTTTTCATGACGTTTCCTGAAAGAAAAAGATATAATGATGCTATTTAGCCAGCGCATAATCCTTTGGTGCTTCGCATATTAAAGTGATAAGGGATTTTTCTGTTTTTGTTTAAGGTACAGGTACTAGGGTACATTAACAATGCATCATGGACCCAGCATATATTATGATGACCACCACACAACTTAAAAATTAAACAACCAAACAATAAGAATGCCAATTGTCGTGGCAACTGATCATTGAATAAAGAATACAATATTTCATTCATTTTCATTTTATTTATTTGGCCATAATATAGTTGTTGTTGTCAAGGATTGCCCAAAAGTAGAAAATTAATCTACAGTTAAGGGGCTCTCCTCACGACAACGGCGAATGATATACAAATATTTAACTTAGTCCAAAAGTTTTTGTAATTTTCTATAACTATTCCCTCGGAGTTGTGCGTGTTGTAGACCTACGCTTATCTATCACATTTATAGTGAGTTTGTGTATAGGCATTGATAATTGAATGACATGCCTATTATCGAAGAAATTACTCTGCATATCACAGACACAGTTAAGTGACAGTCCGGAGGTATTTAATAATTTACAGTCATTATGAAACTAAGACTTCTTATAACATGATCAGCCATTGTAGATATATATTTTAAAAAATATAGGCTTCGAGAACCTACCAGCTGATTATTATGCTGGCTCATTGCGGAGATAGGCCTAATAGCAAGGTGGCCGCAAACGACATACATAATATAATATGACGATTACCTTTTGAGATCGGTATAATGTTTTCCAAAAAAGCATGGTACATCTGCAAATAACAATCACCAATAGTTTAGCTAAACAGGACGAGCACGTGGGTGTAACATGATGTTGGTCCTTTTATCATGCGGCGCGCGCACTTGACTCAGATCGTCGTGCCAGCAAATAACCATGAACTTTAGTATACCAGTCAATAAGAACGTTTAATAATGAACGGCGTCCATACTATATCTATCTCCACCTTGTTTCCGCGTTGTTTAGGAAGTGTTTTTCTCATTGAAAATATAGAACGGAAACTCCGAGTACCGCCTAGGTCTCATACGATGACGTCATCACCGGTTTCAGACTATCATATATGATCAATCCCCATAATAGCATATAGGCCTATACCAGTTATTTATTATCAGTCAACTGCAAATCAAAGAGTGATAGTGAAATGTTTAAAGATATAAATGAAAATAATTGATGATTTGATAACTTGGATGATTATCAATCAATTTTCAACCCATGTTGCCGGGGGGGGGGGGGGGGTTTCGAACATTCTTGGTAGGCTTTAAGGATATATCACTAGGCCTAAATATGAATATGACTATGATATTAACTTTAAGCATTATATGTAAGGCATAATTCACATAGTCATTATCTCATTAGACATATTATATGTTGTAATTATTAATTATCATCATCCTTATTTATTATTATTATTATTGTTATTATTATTATTCATTACTATACTGACAATATTTCTCATATTAATTTTTCATTAAAAGATAATAGCCCTACTTTACTTGAATATAAATTGAGTATTTTGTTTTGCTCAACTTAATTTTAGCCCAACGTGGGCTTAAGCAAGTTTAATTGATCTAATTATAATTGATTGCTCTACCTTGACTTAATGAGTGATATGTCTATCTATATTAAACTTAACGGAAGTTTGTTTTTAAAAAATCATTTGGTTCATAGGGACAAAATATCGTATAGGATATCATCGGCCATTTTAAGGGGTACTTCATTGTTGACTGTCGTTCACAATTTTTAAAATTTCCACAATTGTACAAACACTGCGCTAGGGGGAGGTGGTAGACAGAGTTGTACACCTTTACATTATGTATGAAAATATTGATTCAAAATAACATGCAACATTAAGCTTTTATGACCAATTATAATGCAAGCATTGATATAATATAGATTTTTAGTTAACCAAGTACTGTACTGTAGTTGACAAAAAATAGAGAAAGGTTTTGCAAAATCAACATTTTTATGTACATGTTCAGAGGGAAGGGAGGGGTTACCGAAGAAGAGTACTGTTTGTGTACTTGCGAAAATGTTGATAGTTGTGAACGACTCCTAATCCTACAAGTGGTATGGCCTACCAGTGCAATAAGGTTATATACTTATTAAAATATAATAATTATCAACACAATGTCCTTTGTTTGTAGTAATTGTTTTTGTTTTGTAATTTAGGTCCATCAAAATACATAGGGCTACACTAACCTGCATAATGGCGAAATACTACCGGGAAAAATACACCCCATTCCAGATACTGTAACGTTGTTGACGAGATCGTTTCTTCTAGTGTCCCCAACTGTTCGATTCAGTGCAATAGGAACCATGGATCAGATCAAAAGGAAGACAATGATAAGTCGAAGGTCGCCATTGGTGAAGCTCCCAGACGAATTGGGACAACACTGTACACGCCTATACAGATAATAGTCCCATAAACTAAATAACGCGCTAGGGCCTATATGTATTTTTTGGCAGTATTTCGGTTTAAGTTTTATATAACAAATACCAGTGGTACCCATATATGGGTGTAATATGACATCATCATGATCATATATGGGCAAATCATGGATATTTTTCACATACCTTACACAATGATACCTACGGTATAAGTGCAAGTCTGACCCCATCCACTTTCTTTTCAACTGACACAATTGAAAAAAACTGAATACTAATAATACCTGTTAATAATAATAATAATAATAATAATAATAATAATAATAATAATAATAATAATAATAATAATAATAATAATAATAATAATAATAATAATAATATATTTTAGTACGTCTATCATAATACATTATGTATAATTATTGTATTTTGTATTTTTTTAAATGGAGTACATACGACGAAGATTTGCCACAAAAGTAATTTCAAAACAACTATAAAATGTAGTCACAGAACTTAAATACTTCTACTGCGCATGCTCGTATAGTAGCTCGGTCAACCGTATCCGTCGTGTCGTCTCGTCGGTGGTTGTTTTGCGTTGCGTTGCTAGGCCATCGTTAAGTTGGTGAAGCACGACGGTGCATGCACATGCTAGGCTGGGCCTAAATTAACTATTAAAAAAACCACATACACAGTTGCACTGTTTAGTAATTAGGTAGGCCTACATCTTGTACGTATTAATTAGATCTTCTGCTTCATCATATAACTATAAATCGCCATTGATATGGAAGAGGAGCAGTCTTTACAGTTAGGCCGTGATGAACCTGCGACAGAGGGTACTGATGAAGGGGTCGACACCGCCGGAGAAATTCCTATTGATGCTCTGAAAGACATTGAAGAAATAAAAGAAGGGCTCGATAAAATACATGTGGAGGTTCCAAAGATCGACACGTAAGTTGCAAATCTTTTTGTGTTTATATGATTTCGTTTGTGATGTTGGTGTCCTCCTTCTAGGCTAGTCTTCCTCTACTGAATAATTAATTATTAAATATATTAGCCTAGGCCTACCTACCTAGCTAGGCCAAAGCTACTGACACTGTACTGGACTGCCTAGGCAGTAGGCTAGCCCTAGGAAGTGGGTGCAGATCTAAACCTATAGACCTAAGGTACATAATATTAATAAATAGGCCCAGTCCTACGTTATCAGTGTCATTAATAAGCCCTTCTCCGGCCAATAAATGTAATGCTTGGCTAGGGCCTATTAAGAAGAGCATCACTTCCTTTGTGATGTATAATTTTATTTATACTATTATTTATTCTATATTTTTAGAACTCCAATCATCAATTTTGACAAATTTCCAATCACGTGCAAAGAGAATACCACAAAAGAAAGACTGATTCTACAGTATGCTGAAAACTTTCGTCGCCAGTTCGTGCATCTGTATCGTGACAGGAAACCGCTGTTCCTAAATCCCCTCAATGAATGCAATGTCGAAAAGTTTGTAAGCACAACAATTCGACCAACTCTGCTGCCGTATCAAGAGCTATATACTTATGATGGTTGTGCAGAGTTTGTTGCAGATTATATCACATTTCAAAGGCTAGATTCTCCCATAGAGTTGGTAAGTTAAGTGATTAGACTATAACCAGCTTAAGAAGTGGTTTGGCACAGCAGGAACAGTTTGGTTTCCAAAGCTTGAGGACAAGGTTTCAATCCCTTGATGTGCATTTCACTTGTGTCCTTGAGCTATGTATTATACTTGGAGTATGCATTATACTTTCTTATCTGAGATTAATCAGTGGACCTTTCGGTCCTTGAGCAAGGTATCTGGATTGCTTCTCTCCACCCAGGAGTAGAACTGGTTGCCTGCTCCTGTGCTGATTACAGCGGCAACATTAAAGCATGTAGACTGAATAACAAGGAACAGAAGCACTTCGTCTGCAAAGAAAGGGGGTATATAAATTAATTCAAATAAAAAGATTAATAAAATAAACAACCTGTGGAATCATAATGTGAATGTACTGTATATTTCATGTGTTTATCAGATAAGAGTGAAAGTAGGATGTCGGGCTAAAAAAAAATCATTGTTTGGCTTTATTTTCTCTAATGATGCTCTGACTTTCTTTCTAGCCCAGAAGCCTGCGTTCACCAACCATGATACTTGAGACGCAACAGGGGACCTCCTTTGAGATGAGCACACTGCTTTGCTCCTTCCTTCTCGGAGCAGGCTACGATGCATACGTTGTATGTGGTTACGCCAATCGTGAAACAACGCTGTGTGATGAAATTAGGGAAGTTTGTCCACTTCTCAAGAAGAAAGATGAGGTCTGTTTGGATAAATTAAATTTTAAAAATGGATCTTTTGTTTTTGTTTTTTTTAATAAATTTTATTAAATTTATAATTATTCTTATGTTCTTAAGTTTATATAATATGTATGTCTTGTATGTGTATGCCTTGTTGAATTTTGTTATATTGTGTTGTGTTTATGCTGTCACTAGGGCACTAACATTTTTGGAGGCAAGGATGTACTCAACCCCACCCCCTCCCAAATATTCCATTAGACCCTAAAGAAAATAAGATATCTTTTATGCCTTTGTGTATAATTCAGATTTTGGATTTGGTTATCCGTTTTTGTGTATACTGCCCATGGGACTGTAGACACTTAGCTATTATCTCACTTGTAAGTTGTGAGAGTAAATCCGGTTAGAGGAATTATGGGATGTGTCATGCTAAAGATATGAAATATGATACCATGCCTAGATATTAAGACCTGTCCTAGAAAGAACCTGGAACAGTTGAATTACACTAAAAAGTCAACAATCTATTACTTGTTAAGTTATTCAAGTGATTTGCCAACACGGAAAGTTTGGATGGGTTATGAGTTAAAAGTAGCAAAACAAAAGTATGGCAAGCAGTGGACACACACTCACTGGGAGCCTCTTTTTTATTTTTGCATGATGTTGTTTGCATCATGCTTGTTATATCACATCTTCCCTATTATTACCACATCATATGATTATTATTGTACTTTTATACAATTTTTAGGTGAAGGAAGAAGAGAAAAAGAAAGAAGTAAAGAAATATACTGTCAAGCCACCCAAAGACCTACAGAGTAAATTTATTCGTAAACAAGAATCGAGGAGAACCACGGAAATAGAAAAAGAACTTGAAAAGAAACGACTTGAAGAGGAGCTAAAGCAAGAGGTTAGATCGGATTACAATGTTCAGTTAAAAAAAAGTTTCCTTTCACTGAAGGATTAATAAAGTTTTACTTTGACTTTGATAGTAATAATTTATAATAGTAATAATAATAATATGTTAAAATTGATATTTATAACAATAAAAATATCAATAATAATAACAACAATGTTAGTTTTAATAATACTTACAATTTGTCTATTTTAAAAGGAGCTGGAGAAAGCGCCACCAGATGATTTACATGGTCTGCGCATACACAGCTGGGTGCTAGTCTTATCAGGCAAACGCGAGGTACCAGAGAATTTTTTCATTGAGCCGTTTACTGGCAACTGTTTCCAGACGCAAGATGAAAGATTCCATGGGATTGAATCCATATGGAATAATACAAACTATTGGGTCAACATGCAGGATTGTTCCAATGGCTGCAAGGTATTGGGATATAATATTTTGCTAAATATTAATTTTATTTTTATTAACACTCTGACTGCCAGGGGTTTGAAAAAAAAGTACCAGCCACCGCCAGACATTTTAGCGAATTTTAACACTTTTGCAAACCTTGTTGTGAGTGCGCATGTGATAAGATTGACATGTAATGAATTCTACAAGAACTACAAACATCTTAGATTTACAATGGTACCAAACACTTTATTCTAATCACAATCTGTGACCCGTAACAGTAAAACGAAAGTGACTCACTTTTGGAGATTTACACCATCTCACACGACAAAGCTGAGATAATCGCTCAATGTTAACAAACAAATAGTGAACTACTTACGGTCCAGACTGAATATAGTGTTCAAATTGTTAGTACTTGTCGGTAATTACCCCATCTATTAGATTCCATAAAAAACCTGAAACACAGAGATCTCAAGCGTTGTTTTACCAAACACGGAGATCTTCGTGTTTGGCGGGCAGAGTGTTAAGATTTTATCCAAACGGTAATGTTCTTTCTTTCTTTATTAATATTCAAACAGGAAGCCCCACGCAGCATGGCTGATTTTCAGGGGAGTCCTCCAATTTTGCTATTTATTTTGCTTACAACCTATGAAGAAAACGGCCCCTGAGGAAGTCCTAGACTGTGGCTCCTGGATTACCCTGCTAACTTAACTGCCAATATTGGCTTTAGCCTCACCCCCTCTGTTGTTCATGTTGGGTAAACATGACAAAATAGCATCACCTAAGCAACTACTTGCTTCTCTCACATGACTAAACATCATGTGTTGATATTTGTATGGTACATAAGATTCTATTTTTAGAACCAGCGTGCACTCATCTTATTTTTTTATAATTTACAAATAAAATAATTAATTTATCTTGTAGGACCTGATCTTCGATCTTGGAGATTGCATCAGATGGGAGTATATGTTTCCAGGCAATGAGAAACCATCGTTAGAAACTGCTGAAGAAGATGATTTGGAAGGTTTTGATGATGAAGAGGTATTATATTGTAACAAGTGTTTTTTCATCATGTAATGGTCGTATTTATTTGCTAAATAGTACTTTAATGTTCAACAACTATTAAGTAATAACACATAGATAGTAGTAAGTATAGTATAAGCAGTATGATTGTTGATATATGGTTTGAACTTTGATGTAGTCATGCACACATGAAACTATGAGATGGTTTTTCAGTGTTTAAAAAAAATACATGATGGCAAATTTTCATTTTAAAGGACGAAGAGAAAGAAGAAGAAAAGTATCTTGATATGCCGCCCTCGTGGTCTAGTGAAATCAAACTGACACTGAAGCAGTTTCAGTCAAGGTGTCCGAAGGGCAAGAAGACACTTCTATACAAAAGGTCAAAACTGGAGAAGTATTCCCACTACCTGATGGACGATGGTCTTATCACAAGACTCAGCATGTATAGTGATAGAGAAAGTAAGCAGATGTCTCTAAACATTATCGACAGTTATGTAACATTTCTGGGATTTTTTTTTTGTTGAGGCCAATGAAAAACATTTTTCTCATTTATTGTCTTTCTCTTTGAATCATTGGTTGTTCTGAAATCATAATAAGTAAATTATTTGTGTATGTAATCTGTGGATTTGGATTTATTCGGTGTAAACACCAAGGATAGCCCATGAAAGTCTAGAAGAAGACTTATTTCCAGTGGGGTCCTTCTGGTGGTGATTGGACAGTACACCTGGAGACAATCACCTGCTCTTTTCCGAAGAGTGTACTGCGTTCTTTAACGTGCACATGGGCCATAAGTGCACATTGGACCAACGGCTTAAACGTCTCATCCGAAAGACGGTGCGCTATTGTAACTTGTATTTCAGCCCTCTAGCTGAAACACAAGGAGAGGCAGCGATGGGAATTGAACCGGGGACCTAGAGATCTCCACGGTTCAGCGCACACACAGCGGCTACCACAAGTTTAGCGGAATGAGCTAAGCTGCTCTCAATTTTTAATATATTTTCATACTTCACTCTGATTGCCTATTCTCAATAGTCAATACTGTAATATTTTAGATCATTTGCATACTTCAATCTGATTGGTTATTTTCAATGTGCTTTTAGTGGAAGATATGACACAAGTGAAGGAATGGTACGCACACAGAGCAGACAAACTAGACAGAAGGATCCACAATCTGAGAACAGGACACATTACAGAATACTACAAACAAGGAAGACAAAAGCATCTCAAAGGTAATAAACACCACACATTATTTATTCCTCATTTAGCATCTGTTCTACCTTTAATAATCATTTGCATATGTTACACCTGTATTCGTCATTTCACTGAATTTTCATTTGAGGTTGCACCGAACATCTTTATTTGTATTACCAAATTGTACACCTTTATTTACAGATTAATTGTAAGCCAAAAATATATTTTTATATATGATTCGGAATTTTCACTGTGGTTGGGTATCACAACAACATTTTTGTAGGCTTATTGCTTGGTTGTGCAACTAAACCTGAAGCTCTTAGTTTCAGAGAATATTTATAGTAAAGATAATGATAAGGAAATATTGATAATGTAAACTTTAGTAATGATAATATATGTATCCTTTAGAACATATTTACAAGGCAGCGACCCCTGGTCCAGAAACTGAAAGGACGATGATCTTCTACCACCATGCCAGAGTCGATGGACTTGTGAAACGAGAAGAGTCGGCGACAGAGATGACTGAGCATTTCACAAACAGACGAGATTTTCTGCATTACAGGAATGTTCAATTTGGGAAGAGACAAAAGAAGTTAGAACCAGCTAATGCTCCTACCCACAGCTCACGACCGATATTGGTTGGTACACTTCATCTGAATGTTTTATCTTTCACTACTTCAGTTTTGCTTTTATTTATTTTATTTCACTGCAACATTTCAGGATAATGAAAAATACAACAAAAAGCCCTCCAAGGAACACTATTGAGGGATAGACGAAATATCATATTTCTGTACATCAATAAAAAATATAGTTGTACATCTTTCGTCTCATCTTTTTCCATTGCAGTTTAATGCATGAGCTTAGCCAGCGAGCCGTCTTTGGACGGCCAACAATTATTTAGGACGGCCTTTTTTACCGTGACGGCTGGGATGGCTTGATCTAATCAGCTCGGCCCGGCCTAATTGGACCTGGTCTACCTTTAGCAAATTCTTTATATTCTTCAGATCTGTCGATTAAACTAAATCTAAATTATATTTACATTTGATAAAAATAACCTTTATTGATTGAATGTACATTGTTTTCATACTAATATTCAGTGGAGATTCCCAAAATTATAAGGCTTAACCATTGCCTACTCGGTGAAAAGTTCACTTAAACACGCATTGTTTTAAAAATATTTATACCCTGCTAGGAAATGGACAGTTCTTAGTCGCCCACAACGGCTGCACGTGGCTCTGCAAATACAATACAGTACTTGAGATTCGGTTCCCCGACATAATATTGTTGTGTTCGTAACTCTCTGTTTATAATTTATTCATGAAATACTGTACCGTTAAGAAGATTTGTTGTTAACGTCGCAAGTTAAATTTTATTGGTCAACAAAATACTGTAGGTCTAGGCCTATCTCTTGATTCGAAGGACCTAGAGTAGAATTTACACTAGACTAAGGCAAGAGATGAAGATGCATTTGCATAGTCTAGAAAAATTATGCAAGTGACCGTAGCGTGTGCGCAATATATGTCTATAACTGAAATATCTTTGTGATAGCTAATTCAACACTATTCATTTGAAGACAAAATGCCAACATTTAAACACCTTTAAATGCCCTCTGAAGATCATAATTTTCTAATTTTTTTTCTTATGTTTGGAGGGAGTGTTGCCCCGAATATATTTTTAATTATTTAATTATTAAATATTTATTATTAATAAGATTGATAAGGCATGATAATATGATAACATATAATTCGTCATTAATATTTAACATCAAAGATTTTTCATGTTTCAGAAAATAACCAACAGATTTCATCGAAACCCCAAAAAACCAGCCAACGAGGACATTGCCGAGTTGATATTCCAAATCAAAGATGATCGGATTCAGCTAACGTTCCATCACCAAGACAACAAAATCACAGCTTCCACAAGAGAGTTTATCAAGCCTCAAAATGCTAATGACAAGGGATCCATTCTACAATTCTCACCTGATCTGACCCAGACATTCCAGGTGAACCCACATCAGAAAAACGCTAAGAACTTGGAAGTTTACAACATGTTGGTGGATATGGTGAACCTAGAAGATAAAACAGTTCAGACAGTTAGGGAGTCAGAGGAAGAGGTACCTAAGTCATTAATAAAAATTATGATTATATAATAACAAATATACATAAATTGCATTAAAAAAACCACTGTGTTTTTGCTGGATCCTTGTTTGATCATTGTCAACTTGTTTACATCTGCAAGCCTGTTAATGATGTTAATTAATTATAATGCATGTTTGGTAAAGTGTCCTATAAACTCTTCTCAAAGCACTCTTTTTGTAATACTAGAAAAAATAAAACTAAACAAACTAATCAGTCAACCTAAAAGTCAATCAATCTGTTATCTGTTTATCAATATTTTTGTTTTCAGTTAGTATGCTCCTCTGCTCAATAATAGTGTTAACATTTTGTGTTTGTAGGTTCGAGAGATTCTTGATAATCGATTGATAGAGGAGGCAAAATCAGATCTGAATATCTCGGTGTATGATACTGAAAGAAACGAGAAAGCTAAGAAACACAGGCTGGACAGGGTGAGTCACATAATATATCTTTGACAGTGGCAGCTTACTGCGGCAGTACCCTGGGGTAGGGTTGATTACTGTACATCACCCTGAGATTTTGTGCTTACTTACTTTACAGTACCTTGGGGAAGGCTGGGTTGCTTATCATACATGACCCTGAGATTGAGTACTTTTTTTGCAGTGACATGGGGAAGGGTCACTTACCATACATTAACCTGGAATTGGGTAGCTTACTGTATGGGGTGAGGTTGCTTACCGTACATTACTCTGACTGGGTAGCTTACTGTACCATACCCTGTATCAATAGTGTTAAGCCAGTAAAACATTAATGAGTAAAAATTTATGAAAAATGAATGACTGAAAATTAATTAATGCATAGTATTTGGATATATTAGTTATTGTAACCTACAATATAAATGTATTTAATTATATTAGTAAAAACATAATGGAAATAGTTCTCTGATATTTAAATTGAATTAATACTATTTTATTCTTAATATTTTTATTTTCTTGATAGGAAAAACTGCTTCTTGAAGAGAAGAAACGACGAGAAGAGATGGAGCTGGATTACCTTGCACCATTCTTGGCTCAGAAGGGGGATCCAGATCGTCTTAACAAAGAGCAAGCATTTGATCTGAAGAAAGACTGTCTGGCAGACTTGAAGCAGAGGCTGATTGATAAGGCAAACTTGATCCAGGCCAGATTTGAAAAGGTATTTATAAACATGCAGGGAGAAGATTCCGGGGGCGAATATGCTATACAAGATTTATAGACATTCTTAATTTTTATTCAGCTGTAATCTTGACGTAGATACTCTGGATTAAGATTATTGACTATTGCTATTATACCACTGTGTAATTAGGCTGGCTGTCAATATCTTTAGACTGCTTGGATGATATACTGTAATGATCATTTAGGTGATTTCTGTAGGATCTGAATTTCTCTTCCCACCCATATTCAAGTATAAGTAATATACAGAATGATAAAATTAATAGTATAGTACTTTCTTCCTTTTATTTGGCATCATCAATACATACAATATAAAATACAGTAAAAAACATTAAGATGCAAACATTTAAGAGACACGCACTATGAAATCAGGTAAAAAGATGTCAGGGATAACACTTAAAAGTCATTTAAAATAAAACAACGTATTTCCAATGTGGTCTTTTTGTAAATTTTAAAGGCCAAAAATAAAACAAAAAGTAATGTACTCTAGGAGTGGATTATCGAATCAAAAGTGATGATCGTCATCATTAGTATTTATCATCATCATCAACAATGTTTATCATCAATAATCATCATCATCAATATTCATCATCATCATCAATATTCATCATCATCATCAATATTCATCATCATCATCGATATTCATCGTCATCATCATCATCACATCATCAATATTCATTGGCATCAATAATGTTTATCATCAATATTGTTCATCAACGTCATCTTCGATATTCATCTTCACCAATATTCAACATTATAATCACTAACATTATCATCAATATTCATCATCATCCTTATCAAGTAATTACAAAATATTCTGTGCATCATTTTACCAGGAGACTGCAGAGCTTCAGAAGAAGCAGCAGTGGTACCAACAGAACCAGGTGAACATGTTGAAAGAGGATGAAGAGGAGTACCTGGAGTACTGTAGTGAAGCCATGTTTAGGATTCACATCCTCGAGTTGAGACTCAACAGGTGAGTTACAATCAAAGTATCCACTCAAATATTAGTGAGAAGTATTGAATCTGCTCATAAAATTGTTTTAGTTGTGATGTCATAAAATCCCATGAGGAGTTCTCACGTCATCGCCATAATTATTTGATCCTAGAATCATCATCACTTATAATATTAATAATAAATTGATACATTTTTATAGTACCTGTGGGTAGAGAAATGTTATCATGGTCTCAGAGGTGGATCCAGAGAAAAATCTGAGTGGGGGAGCCATATGATGTGCGAAGCATCAAGCAGGGGAAGGGAGGTTGGGGGTGGGGTTTGGTTGTCTATGAGATTTTTATTTAGAAATGCTTGACCATGGCACTGGTACATGAAATTTGAATTTTGAAATTAGCTCGTTTCCCCCACTCCCTTTTTCCTTTTATTTTCTTCTCTCTTGTTTTTTCCTCTTCTTTTTTAGGGAGGCCCTAGACCCCATTGTCCCACCTATGAGTCTTTTGTGAAAAAAGTTGTGATTTCAAAATGGATTTGAAGTTGCTTTAGTCTATTTATTTACCTTTTTGGGGGAGAATTTAAAACAGCCTTCACATGGCCCTTCCTGCAAGTAACCAGTGGCTGCGCTACAGGGGCACAGGAAAATTTTCTTTCCCCTCCCCCCTCCAAAAAAAAAAAAAAAAAAAAAAAAAAAAACTCTAGAAAAAAAAAAAAAAAAACCATCAGGGAGAAAAAAATGTGAGGTCTCACCACGAAATGAGACGCATCGTTGGTGAAATCATATTGAGATATTCACCAGAACAGGCCAACAGGTCAACATTTTTACAAAATTTTGATTGTAATGTTTTTGAATAACTTTATACTTATATTTTATGACTGTATACTTTGTAAGTGAATTTTCTTGCCAAAACAGTGTTATCTGCACATATTCTGTAACTCTAGTCATATTATTTGTACAGGTTAGTTTATCTTTGAGGCTGATTTTCTCAAAACGTGATTGTTATACACCTAAACTTTAAATGATCACATCTCTGGGTTTACTATAATAAATAGTAGAGAAGCCATTCAAAGACCAAATGAAAGCTTATAATGTAATCTACCCACACGGTTACCTTGCCTTCTCATTTTTTTTTCCTTTGGATCTATTACAATTTAATGAGGTGTAGAAACTGTTGATCAATCTAGTCCAAGGAGAGGAGAGTCTTCATTAATTATTTTCTTATTTTTTCCAGACATAAAGAAATGGCCCCACACAAGTATATGGCGTTGGAGCAACGGTTAAGGACAGACGCTCGTCTTGCTGAGTTCTTTTGAAGCTGACTGAATAACTTGATCCTAAAAGAAATAAACTAATTTGACAATGAATTTTTGGAGCTCTTACTAAAAAATATTACGAAAACCATTATCACATCAAACTTGCAGAAGCTTGTAAAATATATTTGAAAAAAAGAAATGAGAAAGACTGGTTAATAAATTTAAATAGAATTATTTATCAACGAATAAACTTTTGTAAATATTGCAGGAGGTGTTCCAAATGTAATGTAAATTAACATTATTTGAAAAAAATATACTTTTTGTTATAGAGTATTAATAAAAAAAAAATGCAATGTTTGGATTAGTGTGAATAAATTATCTACATTTTATTTAAAATTCAAAATACATAAAGGTTAATCATACACATACACACATATAGGGTATACATAGGGTATATATATATAAAAAATAAGTAATAGGATTGAGAAAAAGGGATCCCGCCAGAGCCGGCACGGTTCCAAAGACCCTGGTGAAACAGGAGCTATGGGAATGTGAGTCAGTCAATTGTTGTCAGTTCAGGCAGCTTTTGGAAACATCGCAGGCGTGTATCTGTGGGGGGCGGGGGTGGGGTGGTGAACGTGTTTTGAAGAAATAAAAGTTACATAACAACCTATATACTGTTTCCATTAGTAGTCGTTTCCTTTTTGAAAGTAAATTCTTATCCTACAATCATCATCATTATTATCAACACCATCATTATATATTATCAACAATCTTTATCAACAATATCATCATAACTACCGCCACCATTGTTATCATCCTCATCATCATAAACAGGGGCGGATCCAGAGGGGGAACCGAAATGGGTTATGATCGAGAGCTACTGACCTAGGTAGTCTGGGGAAGTTCCCCTGAGAAATTTTTGTTTTCTGACGCCCGGAAATGACCTCTGAGGCGTTTTGGGCGATCAATAATTTCTTTTCTTTCTTTCTGTTTTCCCCCCCCCCTTTTTTTTTGTTTGCCTTTTTTGTTGACTTTCTAAAATGGGGGCAGGGGCCGTCTCGCTCCACTTCCCAAATCCGCCCCTGATAAAGGAATGGCGCTTAGAAAAAAAAAATGAATTGCTTTGATACCTCAACAGGTGGTGTTTTAAATGTAAACAATACTGTATGTGGAGTTGAAAGACTACGAAGGAGAATCAATAACAAAATGTGAGTACAGTATTGAACATTTTGCATCGTTAATTCAATAGAAATGAGATTTGTGTCATCATACAATGGTTATTATTTTGAATAAGTTTGTTAGGCATTGAAGGCATTGACAATTTCCTCAACAGAGGCATGCATTGACATGGCTGCATTCCATTCAACAACAACAACATATATTCCAAGTGACTCGCTAAAATATGGCAAGATGCTGGTTAAAGAAACTTTATTTACCGCTTAGGGCTTGATAACAAGTTCCGTTCGTTGTTTACATTGTAGATTCGTATCTGTATTTTCTAATTGACATTACATGAAATTTATTATCAAGAATCTTGTCATTATCTAGTGCACAAATTTTTATCATGAATATTATAGAAAATTAGTTAAACGTCGAAAAAAATATTTTATATTATATTATATTATTTCTAAATGACAATGAATTTGAACGACGTAGGCTCCACTGTCTTCATCAATTGATATTAATACGGATATGTACCTCCATGATGTCGATATCAAATAGGCCTATATCTACCAGTGGCGAATTAGATATTAATAATTAATATCGACACGGATATACACTTCCATGAAGTCAATATGAAATAGACCAGAGGCGAATCCAGGAATTCAAACATAGAGGAACATAGGGAGAGACTTTCGCAAATGGATTTATAATTATGGCACCTTTATTATACTTCGGACCCCCATATTCTCGATGACCGGAAATGAATTAAATTTGAATACAATTTTTCTTTTTTTTTTTTTTTAAATTTTGAATAATTTACGGGGACCGATTGCACATCCCCACCCCTAATCCGCCACTGGCTAACAGCTGTTAAATTGTATTTCTTCGAAAATATTGACCATCTTATATAGGCCTATTTGTGATAATAGTAATATTGAGAATTAATAAAGCGCCGGTATCCGTTTTGTGAAAACGCTCATATCGCCCCTCCAAAAGAAATTCGAAATATGAAAAAACAAAATCAAGGAAACCAAACCAAACAAAAAAGAAAAACAGAAAAAAAGTTTATTACAAGAGCCGTAAATGGGTGAGCGTCACTCTCTCTATGTGGCCATGTATGCACGGATACTCTGCATAAGGTGGTATGCTGAGCTCCAGTATAACCTATGCTCTAAATAACTAAAAATTGTTATTTTTTTTAATTCAAAAGCAACCTGAGCCTTGCTCATGTAGTCCGAGTTACCATAATTAAAACTAACGTCGCAAACCGGGGTCTGTGTATATAAAGATTATAGCAAAAGTATTGCTGACAGGAAAAAAATATTTAAAAAGATTTTTAATTGTAGGTTAATTCTTAAATAAAAATATTTATTTATGGAATTATTTTTTTCATGTATCAGCTCATGACAGAAAGTATAATCTTTAAATTTGATGGCCTGGACTCTGTCCTGACGGGCGTTCCTGATGCTCTTTAATTTTTACTTTTCTTGTTCACAATTTTTTTTATTTTGCTTCACGTGTTGAACATCGAATAAAATCAATCAATCAGCTAATAAATATATCATGAAAAATTCTTGTATGAAGATAGTACTATGTTTATATCAAATGTTTGAATATTGTATGAATCTATAAACTGTATTTATATCAATCGAATGGCACACTTTTATACATTTCATTCACATGACAATCGAATGCTAAAATAGTTTGTGTTCACACTGTTTCAATCTTCTAGGTCTTCACAATACAACTTATTTATTAATCCTGGTGATACTATAGGCCTACTACCGTAAAACCTCATATAGAAGCCCAGTGGGCTTAATTTCGAGAAGAAGTCCATCTCAAATTGAAGCCCCGCCCCTCCCCCGCCCGAATTTGAAGAAGCAAAATTAATTAAAAACAAGCTTGGTTTATACAGTACAGTGGGTTACTTAATGCCGGTTAATACACTCCATGATACAGATTGATATGTTACTGTGGCCCTATTTATTATTATAAAAGTAATTCCCAAACATTTGCAGCTTACATTTTGAAAAAAAGACGCCCCCTCTTTACTTAGCAAAAGTGGCCTCGTATCGAAAAGAAGCCCATCCAAAATATGATAATGCTGACACGAAGAAGTGTAAAGTACTATTCTGTTGTATCAGCACATTGTCCATACATTTCTGAATATGATATGTTCAGGTTGGGATGCTAACTAATATTTATTTATATTATGTTGTTGATACTTCGTTATAATTCTTTCTCTGTTCCTAAATATTTTCTCAATATTTTTTCTATTCCAGTGAGGTAACCGACGAATCCACAAATATCATCAGAATGCCCAAAGTCGATCGAATGGCAACACAACTTACCAACTATTTGTGAAAAGCCAAAGATGTTGTCAAAAATCAAGCTTCCGGCAAAACTGGATATGAACTCAAATAAATATATTGTGATTTTTTAAATACATTTCTCTGCAAAAATCTCAAAATAATGTTAGCAATAAGTATTAATCTTGTAGGTTTTATGTTGATATTGTATTATTTCTGTTTATCTTAATAATAGAGAAAGTAAACGTAATATTGTTGCAAAGAATATAAACATATGTAAGGTAATGAGATATAAAATTTTGTGGATTAAAATCAGGTCTATTAATTTTTGCCGAATGTGCATGTATTAATATGTATAAAATTAAATGCATACATCCTTGAATAAATATCAATTGCAATTATGCATTTCTTCTCATCTTATTCAATGTCTGTGTTTACTTTAATAAATTCAGTAGGCCTAATTAAAGTATCTTTGGCTTAAGCCAAACGTGAAGAAGAATTGCTACATCAATATTAGCTACTTTGCCTATTAAACTAGCAATGAAATCATTACGAGGAAGCCCTCAACAAATAACATAAAACCGGAAATGACGTGGTTGCTAAGCAACAAGCTCATGCATAATCATGAATATTCAGTAACACCTGTTCTAATTAGACTAACAATAAAATCTTTTTGGTCGATTTTGTCAAAACTGAGCTAAAAGTTTTTATTGTTAGTCTAATGAGCACAGGTGTTACTGAATATGCATGAGCTGTAACCTAGCAACCGACGTCATTTCCTGTTTTGTATATTTGACGGCACTTTCGAGGACGCCCTCGTCAACTAAAAACATAAAACCAGAAATGACGTATTTTGTTTGTATGATGTGAATATTTGAAAATATTAGTGTTTATAAAATATAGTAGTAGCCTATAATACTGGTATATTCGATTTGAACTGATTATAAATTAATTATATACTGATTAATATCATGAAATACTGTATATATTATTAATGCAATTACGACAAAGGAAGTACACACAATCATGTATTTTAATTTACACGTCAGTTACCTTTTATTTCTTACATACTCGGAAATGTTTCATCAGAACTATATAAACGTAACATAAATAAAACACAAACTTTGTTTCATATAATGTAATATAATGCTTGTGTCTAATTACATTTAAGTATGCAATATCGTTCGAGGATTACTTGTCCGTTGTACAAGAAATAGGCCTAGATAGCTTGCAAATTTAAATAAAATTCCGATGATCCAGTGGTATAAAACCTAATAAATATCTGCGCGCGGTTATTTGCAGAAGACCTCACAGTAGGCTACATTGTGTTCCGGCAATTTGATATACATCGCGTTCCGGTGACAATGATTGTAGGCACATCGATCTCACACTTCTTGATGGATCGGTAGATTTGACATGAGACACTGAAATATAAAAAGATTGAACTAGTGAGAAATACATTCAAAATATATTTTCCATTTTTTGGCAGTCATTCATGAGGTATAAAAATGCAAATTCAGAAAATAGAATGGATTGTTTAATCGATTTAATACATTCTGTAAAGTGTACATGTTAATAAAACGTTATTTTAATAATGATTTGGATGCGTATTTATTAACGATCTATCGTAGCCACTGCTTTAATTGTTTATTCTTGTTTGCTGGATTGAAAGACTTTTTTAATCATACTTGTTATCGTTGATATATAAGATGTGTATAAGAGACAGGTCCATACATTTCTGAATATGATATGTTCAGGTTGGGATGCTAACTAATATTTATTTATATTATGTTGTTGATACTTCGTTATAATTCTTTCTCTGTTCCTAAATATTTTCTCAATATTTTTTCTATTCCAGTAACCGACGAATCCACAAATATCATCAGAATGCCCAAAGTCGATCGAATGGCAACACAACTTACCAACTATTTGTGAAAAGCCAAAGATGTTGTCAAAAATCAAGCTTCCGGCAAAACTGGATATGAACTCAAATAAATATATTGTGATTTTTTAAATACATTTCTCTGCAAAAATCTCAAAATAATGTTAGCAATAAGTATTAATCTTGTAGGTTTTATGTTGATATTGTATTATTTCTGTTTATCTTAATAATAGAGAAAGTAAACGTAATATTGTTGCAAAGAATATAAACATATGTAAGGTAATGAGATATAAAATTTTGTGGATTAAAATCAGGTCTATTAATTTTTGCCGAATGTGCATGTATTAATATGTATAAAATTAAATGCATACATCCTTGAATAAATATCAATTGCAATTATGCATTTCTTCTCATCTTATTCAATGTCTGTGTTTACTTTAATAAATTCAGTGTATATATATATATATATATATATATATATATATATATATATGTGTATATGTTATTTGCCATACATCAAGGGCTAGTGCTGTTTAACTTTGCATTCGCGTGAGTGTAAAGAATAAATACTTGAACTGGGCTTGACTTCCCAACAAAGCCTCCATGGGCTCAATGGTAAAGGCGTCTGCATAGAAAACAGAAGGTCTCGGGTTCGAATCCTGGTTAGGGAACTTATTTTTCACTCACAGATTCCTCTTCTTTAACGTTCAAAATTTATTTACAGTATATATATTTATAGCATTACCGTAAGAAGATTTAGAGTTTATCTGTATATCATGATTTATTTATAAAAAGTGTTTCTTTTTTCAAGTTTGTACCTGTTACTTCGCTTGAGTCAAATAAAATTCATAGGACAAATTGAAATTAGAAAAAACAAAAATGTAAGTTGGCAAGTAATGATCATAAATATTCTTTAATAACAATTTCATATTAATTTGACAAAAATTTCTATACCAGTATAACATATTTTTTACATTCCAAATGTCACAATATTACAGAAGATTGTTGATTATGCTATTTTCCCCAAACCTGACCAGTGGTGGATCCAGGAATTCAAAATAAAGGGAAGGGGGAGGGGGAAGGGAGGGACTTTCTCAGATGGGGGAGGGGGTTAACACCACCATTGTGGGCTGAGGTATAAAACACTGATGATTATGGCACTTCTAGATAACTGGAAATGGCACTCTCAGATTTAATTTGAAATATAATTTTCTTTCCAGCCAACCCCCGCACCCACCCTCTTGAATCTACCCACTGCCGACATATTAATGCACTACTACACAGTACGTAGAAAATAGCAGATCCGGACATACTGCATATTCAGCACGACAACATATCACTTTGGAAAAAGTGAAAAAATAGCATCTTTGTTGAATTTTCCAAATGCACATTTCTGTTTTAATATCATTACTCATGAAAATAATGTTGAGGCATGTTCAAATTAACTTATTGCATTTTCTTTACTCTGATTATTAAAGAAGGCACTTAATGTTAAGCATATTGTATATAAATGAATAAATTATCATTAATATCAATAATACATTTATTATCTGGGCGAATGGGAGCAGGATGGTGGAAAAGGGTCTTTGTTCATAAGTTTATTTCACAGGCAGATCAATTTTTCAAACGGGAGGACACAACAGTCTCAGAATAGGTAAGTGAGTAGCACATAACCTTGATTTGCATTGAAAATTTAATGGCAAAACGGGTGGCACGTGCCCCCCCCCCCCGTATCCCCCCCCCCCCCCGTATCCCCTACTGGATCCGCCCCTGGGGCCTTTTTTGATTTGCCAAGGTTTCATTAATTTGTCTTGTGCTCATCTGTGCGACAAAATCTGGTGTGGTGCAATCCTCCCTGCACAATTATAAGTATATTGTCCTCGCAAAGCTTACCCTTCTTAACCACCGCTACCAATCCCCACTACTAGCCCTACCTGCCATTCTCACTGTCCTGGGCCCCCACTGGAATTAATTTGGCCTATTTATATAAAGCCAACTTACTTATCACGTTATTCATTCTCTCTATATTATGTAAATAATTAATGCGTATCAATCAATTAACCATTACCCTGCTTTCCATCTTTCATACCCTACTCTTTGTCACCCCTACCACAGTCTCCACACCACCCTACCCTGCAAATGAATGGAAACATAATTTAAACATATTCATCATGATTTTACACAACACTAAGTTTGGCAGTAAGACATGGTATCACTCACACCACTGCTAAAAAAACAAATAAAATATTAGATAATCTAACAATTTCTGCTTTGAACAGCAGTAATATTAAGAGCATATCACTCGTCAGTTTTCTAACATCTTATTGTGCTTTGGCCATTTTATGTCATCCAGGAATTCCTCCATTCTCCTTAGATATAATTTCGTAAATAAATATTCTAAATTATATTTTAAACAGAAATAAGTAACAGTAATGTAAACTTCAAAAATCACATCAACATAATATACAGTATATAACCTATACTTTAATTATGGTATTAGAATAAATAACACAAACATATTTTCTGAATTATTCTAAAATCAACTTGTTTAAATACATCAAATAATCTCCATGATTTCTTATCATAATTCTTTATCTAAAACAAATATTTATTTAAAACATTTTTACTAAATTAAATTGTAAAAAATGTTTACCTAATCTTCACTGAAGCTATAATTGTCTTGATGCAAAATTTAAGACATTATGAGTGCAGGTTACAATATGTGACTTAAAAATGAGAGCAACTTAGCCCATTCGACTGACCTAGTAGTAGCCACGGTGTGTGCACTGAACCATGAAAATCATTTCACACATGTGTTTGGTCCTAGTTGTGCTTCCAGCGCTGTTCGTACTCACAATAGCACACCGATTTTCGGTGGAGACTTTTAACCCATTGTTTCTGTCTACAATATGTGCACGTTAAAGAAAACAGTAAAATCTTCAAAACAGAGCAAGGTATTGTCTGCTGGTGGACTTTCAATCTACCACCAGAAAGTTCCTAGTCCTTCAATTTTTGTGGTTATTCTTGGTGTTTCACAATAGAGAAATCCAACGACAATACAAGATATTGAAAAAAGTAGTCGGATAATTCACAATACCATTACAATACACAATATTTCCCATCATGCAGTGTTGGAACTTGGGGTGGATTGCTTTACAAGCCAGCATTATCACATAGGTGGTCTTATGATAGTCACCATGTAAGACTGCTATTGACTATAAAACACTCCTAGCTAAAGCAAACATTACTCCATCCATAGCCATACTGTTCTACATTATTAATAGCCAGTTAACTGTTTCTAGCATGGTATAGCAATGGTCTACAGTTATCGACTACCTACATCACGACTAGTCGACTACATGTTTACAAACCGCTTTGAACACTCTGCATCAGCACTTGGTCAATTTGTTATCGCATTAGATCATCGGAAGATTTGTGTCCTTGGTTGGTCCAACTAGCTTCACAAGAATATCCTGAAACACTGACAACGATTCTGACAGTCCTGATGGATGATTGACAGCCAGCCATAGTTGCTTGTAACGCTCAATCAGTAGTAAAATCCTGTAAATAATCAATTATGCTTAATTAATTAATCATGCTAATTAATTCATCTGTTTATGCCAATAAACAGGCACGTATCCGGGGGTGTGATGAGTGCGTTTGTATCCCCACAAATCAGAACAGTCGAGAATGTGCTAAATATAAGATTTGCTATTTTCTATAATTAAAATTCAAAGGGAACTTTAAATCTTTACATTTTAACCAGCAATCTATTGTTAGTATTTGGGCATTAAAGTTGCCGTAGTAATGAAAAATCAAAGAATTAAAAATATAGACCAAGAAATAAATGCTTATGGGAGACTTAAGTTCATCATAAAATTACTTACTTATTTGCAGAATCTGTTTTGGCAGTTGCAGGTAGATTTGTTATGCCTACATTTATGACCTTTAATCCCTCTTGTTTTTCACTAGGCTTCATACCAGATACCAGAAGTGATCTACAAATTCTGAAAAATAAAGAGTAATTAATTAATAATATATATATATATATATATATATATATATATAGCATACACTGAAATATAAATCAAGGTAGCTGTTAACACTGTT